AAGTTCAAGGTTTAAAACCGTATTTTTTGTATAGAAAAAATAAAATAAAAACTTGTGATTGTTATAAAATTTACTATTGAAAAATTTTACAAAAAAAAAATTTATAATTTCTTATTTAAAGAAAAAAAAATTTAGCCGAAAAATTGACGAAAAAGTGTTTGAAAATATTGATTTTTGTTTTTAAAATAAGAAAGAATAATTAAGAAAAAAAACAAAACTTGAAAATGATGGAAAGCACAACCATTAACTTAGATTCATTGCAACCGTATGGAGCAAATGATTCAAAAATTGATGGACCAGATGATGAATTTGAGTCACCAGAGAAAAGGTTATTAAGATAAAGAAATTTTCTATTCAAAGTTAAAAATTACGGAAGGAAAAATACGCAATTGATTTAGATAAATTTCGTCACACTTGTAAAATTATTTTGATTAATTTTTAACTTTTTTCCATTTTAACTATTTTATAAAGGTTAGAATTGAAGAAAATAAAAAAAAATTGTGAAGTGTTAATAAAATTTCTACATAAATTGAAGAATTTTTATTTGGAAGTAATGGAAATTTTTTTTTCTCCAAAAATTTTAAATTTTAAGAAAAATCAGTGGTCGTCTTCTTTGAACTTCTTTTTTTCTCTAATGCGTAATAAGTTTTAAAATTATCGCATTTTATTAATGAAAATATTCTTAATTTTCTCATAAAACTTTAATAAAATTTTAATTAATATAAGAGTTTTGAAATTCAATTAATAAAATTAATATTATTCTATTCTTATTGTGATTTAAATATACGATTCGGAAAATACATTTTTTTTCATAATATTAAAAGAAGAAGTTGAAATGGGGTAAATGTCGATAGGGCGATAAGGAGAATAAGGGAAAAATGCCAAATGAGTAGAATGAAAACACATCCAAATCACTAATCCCAACAATAATATTTTAATGGTTCAAAATAACGGTATATTTCTTTGTTTTGTTAGACAAAAATTTTTTTTTGGTTCATTCTTGTTTGTTTGTTACAATTCATAAAATTTAATCAATTATAAATCGATTAATTCGAAAACATAAAATCAAATATTGTTGGAAAATTGCATTTGTGTATTTTGTGCATAAGATTTTTGTGAAGACCACATTCGACTCATAATTTTCTGAGAAGAAAATTAACTTTGATTGTATTACGTAGCGCACAAAATTTATTACCGGAAATAAATATTCGATTCCAATTAAAACGGAGTTTTCTTTTATGTAAATCACAAAAGCGAATAAGTTTTTGGGGTTTTATATATGCTGTATAATATGGAATAAGATTTTTGGGCTGTCGATTTGGTATCTAAAAATAGAATTCAGTATTGCAAAGAGATTTATTTATTTAAGCAGAGTAACAAAGGGATATTATATCATTTTTAGATTTTTATAATGTAAATCCAATCTGTTTTACGATTTTTGTAGTAAAAATATGAAAATTCAATTAATTTTACCGAATTTTTAAAAATTTTAATTTTTCCAAAATCTTCTTTTGTAAATTCTCTCTCATATCACTTATACACACCCATATGACCAATTCATGGTTAATAAATATTATGAAAAGTATAAGTTAATATTAAATTTTATTTACTGTGCAATATTAATGGAGTGATACTTGTTAATTATAGTGAATTTTTCTTAGAACTAGTATTGTTTTTGAGAAAATTGTAACAAAAATAAAACACCCCGAAGCGTTTAACAAAACACATAAAAAAACAGAAAACACACAATTAAGATTAAACGCACAAATTAAGTTTTTTTTTTATAAATGAAGTTCGAATTTTAAAAGTGCTCTGTTTTAAATTAAATAAAATTCTCCTTGATTTTTAATATTTACTAAACCTTATAAACCAATTGTATAAACACCCCAAGGCAAATGTTATTGAAAAGATTTTTTTTTTTTTCAAACTGCAAACAAAAAACTCATTTTTATTTTGTAAAATTTCGAAATTTTACAAATTTCTCTTAAGATTTTGCAAATTTCTCTAAAATTTTCAACATTTGTTTTTTAACCTTGTTTCATTTTTGTTACAAAAGATTTTTTTTTTTTTTTACATAATTTGTAAATAAAAAAAAAGTACATATTTTATTTATTGCTTATTAAAATAACTAGTTTATTAAAATATTATTGATAATTTCAAGTTTTTGATTACAAAACAAATTTAATTAATTGAAGCATAGAAAGAAAAAAAGAAACAGAATTAAAATGCGACGCACTACTCACTTTATAATACATAAAGTACATTTAAAAAGGTTGTGATTTTGTTATTGTATTTTTGCAGTTAAACTATATTTGTACACCTATAATAAGTATACGATATTACTGTAATATATATATGTGTATGTACATATGTAAGTAATTACGATATAAATTGTTTGCATTTAATTTTAGCATTCATTTTATTTATTCTTCTATATTTTGTATTAAAAAATTTATCTAAAGCGTAAATATTTTTACACCTTTTCAATATTATTAAAAAAATTTGTAATTCTAATTAAATAGTAAGAAGAATTTGTAAATAATAATGATGAATTAAATGTAAAATTATTTAAAAAATATAAGAAGTTTTTAAATAAGTAATTTTCCACATATTGTTAATTTAAATGCGAAAATATAAATTTGGAAAATTTTTTTCTTTTTTCAATGTAAAACGTACATTGAAATTTTTATAATATTATAATATTTTTTATAATAGTTCATGTATTTAATTGATTATTATTATTATTATTATTAATTTATTTGTCATTCAAAATTGTCATCTAGAAATAACCTGTATATTCAAGATTCAATAATTGTCACATTTGAAATTCGAGATTAAAATCAGTTTTAAATACAGACTGTTCTGATATATGTATGTCATTGCGTTTTGACGTATAGGTATTAAGAATTTTTGAAAAATGATTCAGTAAATTAGTTATCTAATTTGTCAAGCTACATACTTATACGTTTATGTTATTCATGTAATTAGATAAAAAAAAATACTATTTTTGTACTTAATTTTAATTAGATAAATTATCTAAAAACATATTTTTAATTAACTAAAGAATTTCTAGAAAAACAAAATCAATATTAATTATTTTCAAACTATACATGAACTAAGATAAGGTACATTAGCTTGGTTTTAGGTAGCAAAACAATCAATAAGCCGTATGTACAATAATAGAAATATCCTGTTTAAACACTTGACCTTTATTTAACCTTAATAGGATATGTATAAGTAGCTCAGGAAATATAGATATTTAAATCATAAGATAATTATACTCTCAATGCTTTAAACTGCGTATATGCAGTTATCTTCAAAATGGGAAATTTTTTTTGGTGCGTATTAAGACTAATATAATGGAGAGAAGGAAAATATATTTTTTTTAAATAATTACCTTAATATTAATTTAAAATTATAAGTACAATAAATATATTGTTATTGCTTACTTATAGAATACAATAAAACTCTCATTAAACAGAAAGTTCTTTATCGAGTCTTTAGCAGGGCTACTATTATATATAAACTCATTTCATTATAAGTTTAATGCCTCCCATAAATGGTCCTGTATAAAAAGAAATTACAAAAGAATTTGGGAAACGAAACCTCAAATTAGAGCTAGTGATAATTCAAGTCTTACTAAGTGTAGTAGTTTCTATACAAATACGTGAATCGTTAAACGAATATATAAAAATATAGGCACTATATTACGTTTTTCATAAAATATACAACGCAAATTTATCAATTTATTAAGTTTTATAATCAAATTTCGTATACAATATTGCATATTCATACAATGTACTTAGACATATCAATATATTTGTATAATATTTGTGGGTGTATGTATATGTTATCGATCCTTATATAAAGGATTTTTCTTAATTATAATGCAATTTTAAGAATACTTGTATATTCTACTACAAAAAGTTAACAAAATCAATAAACTTTTTATAAATTTTATAGAATAATTTTTAAAGGAAATTAAATTATATTAAATAGAAATTTTTTTTTAATTTTTAAGCACTCATGCACTCATTTGTGACAGTTTTTTTTTTATTTTTATTTTTCTTTTGATTTGGTTCTATGTTTTGTATGGAGGGGTTTAGTAAGTCGTTAGTATAAAGTGCTATATAAAGTGTCACTTGAGCGAGTTGCAAAAATTTTTTAATACCTGGTTTGTTTGTTAAAAATAAAGGAAAAATGGCTGTAATGTCAAAAAATAAATGTGATTAGAATTAATTAATTAAAGTTGGAAAATAATAAAAAAAATTTTCTCAAAATTAGACACTGATGTGAACTCTGAAAAACTCTGCCATCTAGCGTATTTAAATAATAACAAATTTCATTTCAATAAGTTTACAGTACCGCCTTTTGAAAATTTTGTTTATTTTACAAAACAATGTGTCTATATGGTTCTAAAATTAAAATTTTTCTTTCATATTTAAAATTTCATAATTAAATTAGCATAAAATTAGTTTAGCACAAAAATAATTATTTTAACGGCAATACGTTAAAAAATTTATGACTAATTAAGAAATCTTAATAGGTACATACGAGTATTCCACATGTAAGCTAAAAGAAGAAAACAAAACAATGCTATTTGCAATAATGACAAAAATTTTAAAATATCAATTTCGTGACGACCAATTTACATTTTGCTTAATTTTATACATACTCTAATATTTCTTTTGTTTTATGACTTTTTTTATGGAAAGTGTTAATTTTATTTCCTGAATTCAGTAGTTGAATAGCTTCTGTACATCAATCTTTTTAGCTCCTAACTGTGATTTTTCATCAAAAAAAAAACACGTGAAAATTTTATTGGCAATTAAAAAAGTAATTATTATTAATAGTTATATTAACTCCAACTTCAGCCACTGTTATTAAGTCCTACAAAATGTGTCAAAAGTTGTTATAAATGTCAAAAATATAAATTTATGCTAGGAGCTAGGCTGTTTATTTTGTGTATTAATATAAATGTATTTTTTTTTGTTTTTCAGGTATGACAGGCTATTACATAGAGCTAAAACAGAAGATTTAAGTGAAATATCCGGCATTGGGTGCTTATATCAAAGTGGTGTTGATAGACTTGGCAGGCCAGTGATTGTTTTTTGCGGCAAATGGTTTCCAGCTCAAAATATTGATTTAGATAAAGTATATTGCATATACATACATATAAAATATATTAAATTTATTTATTATTTAATTAAATTTTAAAATAAATTTAATTTTTATTATTAGGCTTTATTATATCTAATCAATTTGTTGGATCCAATAGTGAAAGGTGATTATGTCATTGCATACTTCCACACTTTAACATCTGCAAACAATTATCCTACATTTAAATGGCTGAAAGACGTTTACACTGTACTTCCATATAAGTAAATAATTAATTTTTGTATTTATTTTATAATTTAAATTAACATTGGAATTTTTTACAATATTATATTAGATACAAAAAAAATCTTAAAGCTTTCTATATTGTTCATCCTAACTTTTTAACAAAGGTAAAATTTCGATTTTTATTGTGTTTTTTTCTTTGTTTTTCCAAAAATTTTTGAATTCTAACCGTTAAACTATTTTAGATGATGACCTGGTGGTTCACAACATTTATGGCGCCTGCTATAAAAGCTAAAGTACATTCCCTTCCTGGAGTCGAGCACTTATATTCAGCAATTTGCAAGGACCAACTCGAAATTCCAGCATATATAACCGAATATGATATGACGGTAAATTTAGGATAATTTTATTTGTTATTGGTTATAGTTTATTTCATAAAATATTGGGGCTTATTCTTAGTATCGAATCACTAAGTGAAAGCGAATCATTTGTATGAATTGGTTTATGTTTACAATAATAATATCTGATTTTTTATGATAATTGTCTTTATCACTTCGTAATTCGATACTCAGGATAAGCCCCATTGTATTAATAACAATTCACTATCTTAGAAAGACAATTAATCGTTAATATGACAAAATTTTAGTGAATCGTAGTAACTTTTGTTTCGTAACCTAAAATTCAAATATCTTTTTCTTTTAGAATGCCATAAAGAACTTGACTTGATGTCATAATTTAAATTCTTAAGGTCCTATTTTATTGTTAATTAAAACTGTTATCTGCAACATGTGTTAATTTGTTTGAAAAGTAAAATTTTAAAAACAAAATATTAAATTAAACTGTTCTAAGTTTTACTAAGATGAATTTTTTTTTGAAATTTTCAACTAAACATGACTGATTTTGAATTTGAAAAGCTCTTCTCCAAAAGTATCAAACTACAAAGTGCATTCGGTTAAAGTAGGTTTAAGTAATCAATACAATAAGAGTTTTTATATTTATTATTTGAACTTGTTTTGTTATTCTTAAGTACACCAATTATATTCTACTTATGGATAGTTTTATCGTAATATTATTTTATTAATTATCTCTAGATTACCTGGATATTTTTTATTTTATAACAAAGAAAATATATTGCACCATAAAATATCCAATTGAATTTACCTTATCTAAATTAATAATATTCATAAAATTTAATATTTTTAATTAATCCTTTTTTTAAATTTATTTTCATTTTAGATAAACGGACTGCATTATTTTCAGCCAATAGCTCAGACACCGTCATAAAACTAATTTGCCGCTTATGTCTCCTCTAACGTATATGTATTTCGTATTTAAGTTAATTATTTACGATATTTTTGTGAGATGTTTGTTTTTCTTAGTTTTTAAAAAGCTATATTGCATTATAAGAAAACATACATTAAAACAGAACATTAAAAAAAAAGAAGAATTTAAAGTATTTTCATTACTAAGTCTATTAAATAAAAATCTAAATACTTACTAAAAAAAAACAAAAGAATTAACAAACTAAGTTACATAAACAAAAAAACCTAGGTGTATAGAAAATTAATTCTTATGAACAAGTTTATTAAATTTTTAAATTACGTTTATAAGGTTTGTTATTGCGGTTGTAGATTATTGATGTTGAAAAAAAAACTACAAAACACAAAAAAAAGTTAAAAAAATAAATAAAAAATAAGTAAAATAATAAAAGAAAAGATCAAAAAAGTTTTTAGACCGTAAAATAAAATTTATCTATTTGTTGAAAATGCAATCGCATTTAACTAATAATAATGATATAGAAAACTAAAAATTATTATATATATAATTTAATTGTAAAACGTACTAACTTAAAAGTATAAGATATATAAATGAAAAAGAATCAATTGTTAATAATAAAGAAAAATATACAAATGGTTTTTCGAAAAAGAAAAAAAATTTTGAGTCTCGTTTATTCTTTTTTATTATTATGTACTACTCGTATTATTAAAATTTAATAATTTTGTGTAGTTATCTATGAAATTAGAATTATTTTGAAAATTTTATTTCTGTTGCGAATTTTGTAATAATACCTTGCAATACATTTAGTCAATTAAAAAAGTTAATTTCTTCGATTTTTGAGCAGTTTTCATATTTTTGAGCAGTTTTCGAAAATCCAACTCATAAAACAAGAGCAGCTCCCCTATCTGTAAATATCGATGAAGAACTTGCCATTCAGCATAATAAATTCAATGAACGCTCGCATTATGCAACTAAACAAAGACTTTTGAATATACACAGTTCCAAAGTACGAAGCAGTGTTGTTCAGAAGAAGATATCAAAAGTTTAGTTTTTATTATTTTTATATATTACTAGAACTAATAAATTTTCATATTTTAATTTGTAATCCTATTCACATAAATATTTACTCGTATTCATAACATTACTCTTTGTAGTTACTTTCTTCTTTAAGAAACAAGATTTCGATAGATTTTCTAATGAATTTATATTTTGTAAAATACATTAACATATTTACAAAATATGTTAACTTGTATAATGTAATATAATGTTAACATGTATATTATATCCAAATAATTCTGTAAAAAATTCTTTATGTCACCAACTGAATGACTTATGTCTGAACTGAACTAAAAATATTTTCGGGCTCTACAATGTTAGGCATTGCATAAAATTAATTTGACACGTATAAATCAAGCATATAATCTTATTCGGTGTTATTATATAATTGCATATTGTAATTTTATCTTTACTACAATTAAATTTATTTTTTTAACAAAACTCATACTTAAATTTTAGTTACACTCCAGATTTGAACAGAATTAGAACGTTATTCTCAAATTTTCAAATATAATTTTATTTTATTTTTACGATAATTGTCAACACTGAAAAATTAAAAAAAATATAAAAATATATACTAATAAAAATAAATAAGTTCCAAAAATATTAATATAATCAACTATAATTGTGCATGACATATAGAAAGACACACACTGTATTTAATTAAACAGCGACCTTTAAAACTACAAAAATTACATAGTTATGTACCAATATTCAACAATTACTCTCTTAAGAGAAAAATATACTTACCTCTAATATGATAAAACGGTATTTAAATTTTATTTCTATTTCTTTCTTTCTTTACTTATCTTTCGATATTTTTAAATAATTTAATGATTGATTTTATCACCTACTGGAGATAAGCTTACTATATGAATATCAATTTAGTTTCTTATAAGTAATTAAAGTTGGAAGTTCTTAGTAGTATTTCAGAATGGAAATATCAAATGAAAATAAAATTTGGGCGCCTTTAAATATACCATTACGAAGAAGATTACAAACACTTGCTGCAGGATTTTGGATATTTCTAATGATATGGGGTCAAAGTATAACAGTTTTTACATTTATTTCATTGTTGGTATGAAAATAATGTTTTACATTAGAAAATAGGTATGCATATTTTTGTTTTTTTTAGATTTGGGGCACATGGCCAATTAGGTTTTTATGTTTATTATATTGCGCATATATGTATTTAGATAAGGAGAATATTGAAAAAGGAGGTTGGAGCACAGGGTAAGAGTAAACAAAACGATTAGTAATATTATAAATAGTGTATACTGTATAGAAACAAGCCCTGAATGATTGGCATAAAATCTGATTTACAAAAATAAAATGATGTGTAATACATTGTGTATGCATGAGTCTATATATTTGACTCATGTATACTTATGCGTGCTTATATAATGTTCACGATTGTAATTCAAATTGAATTATTGCATTCGTAAATTAATCGCTGTGGTAATTTAAGCAAATATTTTGAGTTTTTGACCGTTCGTCTCATTAATTATTAAATTAAAATAGAATGTGGTAAATAAAATTTACAATATCCTCATTTCAACACCTTTATTTCAACAGGATTGTGAACATCGCATTATTCAAAATCATCAAAAAAATTAATCTAATAAAACAAATCTAATTATATATGCTTATGTATCGTATTAATTTTTATCAGGTTAAAATGTTTCCGAGACAATGCATTTTTTCGACTGTACCGTGAATATTTTCCAATAAATCTTGTTAAAACTGCAAATTTAAAATCAGATACAAATTATATACTTGCGGCATTTCCTCATGGAATTTTATGGTAAGGGAAAAGAAATAATATTCAACATACAAATAAGTACTGAAATATTAATTTTTTGAAAAACAAATTTTAGTTGTGGTATTTTCGGTCATTTTGTTTCAATGTCACCAAAATGGCAAGAATTATTTCCAGGCGTTGCAGCAAGAGTATGTACATTAGCTTCACATTTCGGTGTACCGATTTGGAGAGAATTAATGTATGCTTGGGGATTAATACCAGCTTCTAAAGCTGGTATTGAAAATCTATTAACATTGTAATATTAATATTCTGTTTGTTTATTGTTAATAATAAGAGATTTAATTTAGTAAATCAGTAAATAAAGATGGAACTACATCTAATGCTGCAGTTATAATTGTAGGAGGAGCACAAGAAGCATTATTAGCTCGTCCAAAAAATTATGAATTATTTTTGAATAAAAGAAAAGGATTTGTTAAATTGGCGATAAAAACTGGGTAAGTGATTCGGAAAAATTTTTGAATTAAGGTTGATTACCTATTTGTCATTGTGAATGAAAAATAATTTATTTAATTGACGATGTTTTAATGTTCTTAAGCCGAGTAAATTAAAAAAAAAAGACAATGCAATTAAAATGATTTCCATTTTAAATTTTTTAGAGCCCCTCTGGTACCAGTATTTTCATTCGGAGAAGTTGATATTTTTGATCAAGCATCAAATCCAGTTGGTTCAAAAGTAAGACGTTTTCAAGAAGCTTTCAAAAAACTGACAGGAATATCACCGGCTTTCTTCTTTGGACGAGGATTTCTTCAATATGCTTTTGGATGGGTACCATATCGAACACCCGTTACAGTAGTTGGTTAGTTTTTAAAATGAAAACAAAAAGAAATTGTTTTAATCCTATTTATTTTACATAAATGTGTAATATTGTATATTTTAGTTGGAGCGCCTATACCAGTTAACAGAAATTTAAATCCAACAACACTTGAAATTGATGATTTACATTCTAAATTTGTTACAGCTCTTACAGAACTTTTTGAGACTCACAAATCTAAATATTTATTAAATGGAGAAAATATAACTCTTAAAATTAGTTAAAAAAATACTTTTTTAGAATTTTTTATTTTGTAATTAATTTTGTTAACAATTGCAATCAAGTTACATTTTTAAAAATTAATTTTATTTGAGTGCAATTAAATTTTTTGTTATTGTTAATTAGGTTGATTGTTGCTTGTAAATATTTTACCATTATATTTTGAAAATTTTTGTATATCAATTAAAATTAAATAATTGATTTCAGTTGTTATATTGTAATTTGTTTAAATCTACATAGTTTTGTATGTAGTAATAAATTTTTTATATGATAATAATAAATCTGATTTCTCTTAACTACTTATACATATGAAAGAATTATTTGCCAGTAACGAGGAATATTATGCAGGCACTGAAATCATGCAAATGAATATAAATTAATCGAAATTCCACCAGATATTCAAGCGTTTAATACATATACTCATATATTGCTTATTATGTAAAGGTACATAAAGACAACTACATCAATATTGCATTAAATGTGGATGCAAAATTCGCAACTAATACAATGTGTATTGACTTATGTACAAGTCATGTGCAGAACCCGCATGAGAATTTTCGCTTTAAATTAAATAAACTCATTATAAAATTATTTTAAAACTTTTATTTTTTTTTTTTATTATTTATTTATATTTTTAATTTAAATTTTGTGTTTTATTATAATATTTTATGTATATATATATATTATGTAATTTGTGTACTATATATAATATGTATGTATGTTTTTCTTAATAATTAATTTTAGTATACAATACGAGTAAAATATTTAAACGCACATTATAGGAATAAGTTATACAAATTCTCGTACATTATTAGTTATTATTATAGAGGGATACCATTAATACAATATTAATAGTATAAATAATATTTTATATTCTACCTCGTATAATAATAATGTATAAATATAATATATAACAAAATAATGTTTTTTATATCATATACAAAAAATAACTATCGATAATTAAAAAAAAATTTTTTTTCATCGATTTATTTAATATTTATATAGAATATAAATTTAATTATAAGAGGAGAAATTGTCATGTTTTAGTAGGCGACTACTAAAACGTAAATTTGACGTAAATCTGACTTGCAGATTGGTTGCTATATTATTTATAATTAATGATTTTTTTATTGCCGAAAATTTATTTGTGTATTTGCAATATGATAAACATTTCCAAATAACGGTAATTGTATAAAATTTTTCAATTAAAACAAATATGGCCTGAATTTTGTAGTGATACACAATTACTACAATTTAAATTGCATACTTTTTCGAAATGATATAAGTTCTTGCAAATAAAGCAAGAACATAAAATAGGATTAATTTACATGAAGTAAATAGTGCCCTCATTTGTTTTTCATATTTCATTTCATATTTTATAATTCTATTGTTCATTAATATTATAATACAGTCGGAGTCTATTAATTTATAAATTTATTTTTTCAATTTAAATTTGGAACTTTTTGTTTTTGTAACCCCAACTTAAAAATTTTCTTGTAGGTTTAATTTGGACAATCATTCGAAAAAAAGAGGAAAATATTAGAAATTATTATATTAAATAAAAATTATATTCTATGCATGTACATATATAAAAGTTGCAAGCTTCTATCGTATAAAAGAGCGTATTAAAATTTTGGAATATTTTGTATTTTTTTTTTTTTACATTTTATATATTTTACTTAACATTATTTTCAGTTTTTAAGATAAAAACCGGATTAATTCCATAAAATTGGTCAGTATCTAGAAAATTTTATATATATTTATATTATAAAACATTTTAATTAAATATTTTAATAATTTTTTTCTTTTAGATGTACAACATTTATTATGCGATGTGACTGTTATACACAATATGAATGTTATATAATGAATTAAACTATTTGAAATAAAAAAATAAATAAAAAAATATTTGCCAACTCTTAACTTCAAAATTGTAGTAAAATTATGTTCTAACGTTATTTAGCAACTAAATAAGCTTAATTGTGCATAAATACCACATGACAGCAATTTTGAAATTAAGGAAAAATTTCACGAATTATTATGGACATTCAGCTTAATAAAAAATGAACGTGAAATTGTCATATATGTTCACAATTATTAGTCATTTTAATATTCACAATGAGTCAAATTGAAGTGAGATCTGTATTAAGATGTTTGCCCTATATTGTGTAATAAAATTTAGAATCTCATTCACAATTAATTTTAAAATTTTAAAAAACTTATTTAAGTCACAAATACAAAAGTAATGTAATACAAAACAGGACGATACAAAAAAAAAACTGTTGGAAAATTATTAAAATTTTTATTTTCGAATTATTTCTTTTTATAGATATAAAATTGATGAAAGTCACATTTTTACACTTGTGATTAGAATACACAAAAAACATCACTATATAAAAGTATAAGTATATGTATGTATGTATAATAAGGAAAACGTACACAGATTATTATAAATTACAATTGGATTTTCCTTCATTTTTTATATGCTTACCTCTATAGCTCTAATAATGGTGACAACATCAATTTATATTGAAATTTTTTTGTTTTTCAAATTCAATTTTTTTTGTTTTCGTTAATTTTACTATATTATCTACACAGCATTTCTGGTTTTTTTATATTTTTTTTCCAATAAATCATATTTTGCATTGAAACATGCAATTCTTTTATAATATTTCAAAAGTATTTAATTATTTTTTTCTTATTTTTTAACTCTTAACAAATGCGTCGTCAGTGGAACTCTTTAATTTTTTTTTAAACCAAATTTTGTATATAGTGACTTTTATACATTATTTCTATTTATATGTGTATATATATAACATTTCTATAACATTCAATCTATAACTATTATAATAGTTAATAATTATGTATAATAATATTTTATAATGACTTAAATATTATTCTTATATAATAAAAACAAAATTTATTCTAATAATTAATTCTTAATTTGTAAGTATATTAAAACTAAATGGATGACATCTTACTCATTTGACATGTTACAGTGTTTGTGTTCACTTATATTTATATATGTGTGTGTACGATGTTGTTTTACGCTTTTTTTTGTGTTTTGTATCATAAAATTTCGCTATTAATTATGAACGCGTTGTTTACATTTCTTTTTGTATATTATATTTAAACATAATAAATTTTAAATCTAGTAAGCTTTCGTCCTCAAACTTCTACAGCATGTTCTTTTGTATCAAGTAATCGGACACCAGTCGGTTCGGTAACCACACCATTTACAGTAATTTGCATATCTCGCCATGGTGTTGTTAAAACTTTAATTCGCTAAAATTTTTTGTTTTGATTTTCAAATAAATTTTTTTGTTATATTTTAGAATAAAAAATATTGGTTACCTGTTTAATACTACCGGGAGTTGTTAGAATTTTGTAAATAGCCATTGCCGGTATCATAACGACAGATGATCCTGCAATACACCAACCTAATACATTTGCCCAGTACGGATAAATATAGTCTTCATATTGAAGTGGTTCATAGCCAATTAAACCATAAACAATAATAAACAATAAAAATATTGGTGCAATAAACCTCCAACACACTCTCCAATAAACGCCTGGTTTAAAGCCAATCATATCTTGAATATCTTCACAAAATCGATTTGTTCCTGAAATTAAAAAGTTAAAAAAAAATTATTTTAAGAAAATGGGCAACTACCAAAAATGCAACTCTAATTTGTTTTATTTACTAATAAACTATATTGTTCATTGTTGAAACAAGACAAATTTCTGTTTAGAGAGGCATTTAGGTGTTTGCAAATCTGTTTTGCGTCGAATGTTTTAAAAAAATATTATTTTTTGTATACCATAAATCCACGACACGGCAATCGCTTCGAATAATACGGCTATTAAAATACTGTAGCCAGCTGCAAAACGGTCTAATAGTTGGAAAAAATAAAATCCTCCTTGGGTACAACTTGCAAGTCCAACAATAAAGTATATAGTAAATAATATAGCCACGAATACTTCACGATTTTTACCAATTTTTGGAAATTCATCACTTAGCGCTGTTATAATTGCTTCAGAACCACCAAACTGTAAAAATTTCATATTTGAAAAATAAAAAAATAATTAAAAAAAAAAATTGTTTTGTAATGAAAATGTAATTTAATTTACCGAACTGTCTAAACCCAGTGTTAACAACATCATGAAAAATATCAATGCCCAAAATGTACTCCCAGGCATTGTCGCTATAGCAGCCGGATATACTACGAATACTAAACCTGGTCCTTCGGTAGCCACATCTTTAATATCTTGACCCGAAGAATATGCCATGTACCCAAGCACTGAAAATATTACGAAACCAGCCACAAAACTTGTTGCTGAATTTATACAACTTGTTAAGAGAGCGTCCCTGTCAAGAATTAATAAATAATTTGAGGATTTGAGTCAACATAATTATAAATTTTAAAATACTTTATTTTTTACATACTTGTAAACATTGTTATGATATTTGTTGTATGATGCGTAAGCTAATAAAACCCCGAATCCAGGCCCTAATGAAAAGAAAACTTGTGTTGCCGCATCCACCCAAACTTCAGCTTTATAAATTTTACTAAAATTTGGATTTAAATAATATTGTATACCCATTAAAGATCCAGGCAATGTTATTCCTCTTATAAATAATATAAAAAGAACTACGTATGGAAATAAAGCTGTAAACCAAACAACTTTTCCCGATGTGGCTATACCTTTCCACAACGAGAAATAACAAATAACATAAACAATTAAGAGACAAATTGCCATGTCCCATTTAATAGCCCCCAAATCATGAATTCCCTGGCTTTGATTTAATTCTAGAATGTAACGACTGCGAAAACAAAATTATTGTATTTAATTTTTATTTTGTGAAAAAAACTTGAAAATTAAATATACTTGAAATATTCCAAAGCTGCTGACTGAAACTTTTCGGTTGATTCTGTTTCATTACTGATAATTAATTGGGTGTCATTTTGCAGAAGAAGAGTGTCATTTCCTTCTATTAGAGAGCTATTTGACCAAAACTTTTGTCCAAACTAGAAATGAAAGTATTTTTTTCAAAATAATTTTTAGAATGTTTAAATGCTAAAATGTTACTGGTCGACAGTCAAGCGTATTCCACGTATTATCACATGATGTCCATGGTAGGCTACTGGTGAATGATGCGAAGAAAAATCTCAATGACCACGCAATAATAACGTTGTAATAAAAATCAACGTAAAAAGCGATCAATACAACGGCATAACCAATTCCTTTTGTCGTATAGATTAAAGTTAATAAAACTTATTTATATAAAATGGTTTCGCTTAAGATTGACTATGTATACTCTAACATAAAAAATCGAATAATAAGGTGAATGTTTACTAAAGATTTATGCAAAAGTCAATGGATATAGTCAATCTTATGCTTGAAACACTTCGTATTTTTATTTTAAATAAACTTTTCGCAGCACTTTATTTACCTTTGAATAATGGTACAAGCCGACCCCAACAAGTTATAGCGCCTTTTCTGTTATGCTGGCCTAAAGCTAATTCCATATAAAAGAGAGGAATACCTCCAACAAGCAACATTATGCAATATGGAACGAGAAAAGCGCCTAAAATTAGAATATAAAAATAATATTTAAAAAAATTAATTAGAAATTATTGAAAAAATATTTGAAAAATGCTTTGTTTTCAAATCGAATTGCAGTTCTAACATTTTAATGGACAAGTCAAGTAGACATAAGGTGGTCTATGTAAAAAAATGCGAAAGTTGCTAATTAGCCTTAGTTGATTTGCGATTTTCAAGTGGTTTGGAACTTTTTAACAATATTGCATCGCAGCATTTTCTAAAATTTTGACATTTCTGTTACTGAAATTTCCGACAGTTTTTTAAAAATAAACATTTGAATGATTTAAAGTAATCATACATTTGAATTTATGTTAAGGAGGCTCTTAGTTTTAAAAAAAAATATGGATTGCAGAAAATTTTTAGCAGGAGGTGACTACCAGCATAGTGTAGGTTAAGATTTAAATATTGCTCTTGCTCAGTCAACCATTTCACTTGTTATAACTGAAGTGTGTAAAGTTTTAAAAAAAATTAGTGGAAAGGAGCGATGCCGTGAGAAGAGAAGCGAAACAAATTTTGAATAATTCATGAATTTTACTATTATCGTGAAAAGAGAAAAATTATTGGACAATTATTATTCAAAATTAATATTGTCCAATAATTTTTCAGGATAATTCAAAATATAATATTAATTTTGAACAATATTCTTGGAATTCGACAAAATATTTTAAGAAACAAATCAGTATACTTCGTTATTTTAATTACGTATTAATTTTTTTTTTCAGTTTGCCTTTTTTTCCCCGACATTTTTCTTAAATTAATTTCAAAAGTCTACCAATTCAATTATTTAATTACTTATCTAAATACATAAATACAATATAACAATATGTGTGTGTGCTGCTATAATGTCACCTTTATTATTACTTTATTGTTACATTATTTTGGTGCCCCCTCATGATTACTATTATCAGAACAATAATTATTAACATTCCTATATTAATGAAAAAGGGAAAGAAAGGCTTATGTATAAATTAAAAATTCAACAAAATACTCTTCTCACTTAAGCAATTTAATAAAAGGAATTGCCATATTAGCACACTTCAAGATTGTGTATTATAAGAAATGAGTTATTTAAAATATTCACTTGTATAACATAAAATGTACCTACGTATACCAAATTTCCTATTATAAGCGTCTGAAATCAATTCATTATGAATTATATATGTACATACATACATATATGGATGTACTTATACATTTGAATATAATATAGCCAAAAGGAAAAAGAGTCAACTGAAAGAGCAAAAGGAAAAAAATATTTTCCTGAAGTCAGTAAAATATTATGAATTTTAAGTAAACGTTCCTCTTAGATATACAAGCATTTATAAATATATGTAATTATTTATATCTATGCTATGCGTGTGTGCATAGATTTGGGTTCCTCACAATAATATAAGAATAATATTCACATAAAAAGAATAAAAATAAATTGCCAGAAATGTAATTATATTGTTCTATCGTTCATCGTTGATCTTTGACAAGGAAATCACTTAAAAATCAATTTAAAAATTTAACCTAATTTAAACGTTAGAAGGGAGTATAATAAAATTCTTTGTTCCTATCTTTAAAAAAAAAAAAAAAAATTAAGTTATAAGTAGTATAATGGATGACATCAGGACAATATGATGATCATAGTGCTAATAATACATACATATATATTTACATACACATTATATTATGAGTATATAAAGAAGCATTTAGAAAATATTTTATTTTTATGTCATTTTATTATTAGACGACCTAACTTAAAAAATGTTATATAAATATGTTTGACGTTATTGTATTATTTATAAATAACGATATATATATACATTATAATGGTTATGTTTCTAAAATATTAAAAAAATTTTGACATTTTCTCAAATTTTAAATACTCTGAGAATATTTTGATTAATTATTGTATAATTTCTGAACTACAACTCTTACTTCAAAATTGTATAATAATGCAGTATTACATAAAACACATGTAAGCGCATAATAAGTTTTAATTGCTGAAATCTGCAGCAATACAGCATTATTACTTACAAAGTAATCTAGTTTTAAAGTTACGGGAATTAGTTTACATTTTAGTGTTACCCAATTTTAATTTCTGTATAAGAAATTTATGATTGGTGAAATTAAAAGATTCATATTTTTTATATTTTACAACTTGCAGAAGTCAATCTAACATTAATATGCATTTAGGAAGACGCTTAAAATTTGGTTTATATATGACAAAATTAAATTTTTTTGCATGACAATACCCTAATATTTAACCCTAATATTAACTAATTATGAATATAATTTTATATTAATATTAACCTTAAAGATCTATTTTATGTTACCCCTCAAAGTCCCAGAAATGACATTTTTTGACTATTTACTGTTACCAAACTACAAACATGATTTGATTTTGGAACAAAATATTTGTCCAATTTCAGCCACTCTCAAATTATCGCTTCTCAAAATTTGAGTTTAGGCTAACTTATATTTCCGAAACGGCAAGTTTTGAAAATTTCCAAAAATGCAGAAAATTAACGGTAAATTCCATACCATCGAAAAATATAATTATTTATCTTAACTTACGTGATTACCTCTTGAAATCAAGCATTACGATAATTCTCTTTCAATTTTTTTTATTTATCTCATATTTTGATATACAAGTGAGAGTTTTGATACACAAGAGAGTTTTTAAAAGCAGTATGTTCACTTGTTGAAGGGAAACGTGCTTCTTTCCAATATATTGGTTTGACCCAACTTTATTAAATTTAAATTTCATTGTCAGATTCTTTCATATTGTATACGAAATGAATGTATATGTTGTTACTTCATCCTTATAAGTTCCTCCCGATTCAATTTTAACTTTGAACAACAAATAATAAGAAACTATAACGTAAGTCTTAATTCAAAATTTTAGACATTTCCGTCAGTTCCTAATTTGAAAATAAAACATAAAGTAAAAAAAAAAAATAAAGCTTTTTTACTTACACTTCTCTAGCGGAAGAATTATTTTTCACATTGTTGAATTAACGGAAATCTGTTGTAGAAAGTTTATTTCTTTTATACCACAAATGAAATTTTTCCTTCTCATTTTCCATAATTAAATAGATTCATCTCACAAATCTTAATATATTTAATGTCATTGGAGTAAAAATATATGAATCAGGATTTTTTTGATTTATTTCAAATAAAAATGAACTTTAAAAATTGAAAAATTTTTAAAAATTTAAATTGGGAGATCGTTTTGGTCTCTTTCGAGTACAAAACGCCAAAAATGCTTAAATAATAATTTGCTTAATGCTTAAATAATTACACAAGGCATAAAATGATTTTTGTTGCAGTGTTTTAGTAACAAAAATCGAACCTGTAATTCAGAATGTCAACTAAATAAACTGAGTTCTTTATATTATATTACATAGCTGAATAATCCTATTTGTTATTTGCAAAAGCGATGATATTTAAAATACGCCCGAAATTGGATTGTATTCGGAACTGGCTTACCTACTGGATTTCTATATATACTTTTTTAATTTATATTAATAATATAGTACGGTCAGCGTCTACGTAAAAGCAGACCTATAACCTTGACATCTAAATTCCAGTAGTATCGTGTAACTATTTAATTCAGCTTATAATAGTTAATTGCTGAATTTCCAAGTAATATAGTATTAATGTAATTCTAATATTATTGGGGATGCTTCAATATAAATTTTATTAAATTATCGGTTTTTTTTTTGTTACTTATAATAAAATTTTATTAAATACACTAAAATAAATTGAAATTTTACAATAAATTTTACGGTTTTGAATTGTGAAAATAATAAAATTTTCTGATAAGGACGTGATTTTATAAGAACAAAAAAAAATTGACCCATATTGAAAAAAGTTAAGTAATTTTTTACGTTTTATTCAACCATTGAAACACCATTTTCTTTTATGTATATTGAAACTTTTATAAACCAGACACGATTTAAAATTGCCTTAAATCTTTGCAATAGCACTCCTTATGCAATACAAATTAAAAAACACATTTACAGTCTATTGTAAGAAAATATAGTGAAAGTGTAGTTCGGCACATACATACTTGTGAACATGTTATACATAACCTTACAAAAATTTTACAAAGTTAATGAAAATTAAAAAAAAAAAATTACTTCAAAATTTTAACAGAATTTAAGAATTTTTTTAACTTTCCCTTCATTCACAACATATAAAAGTTGGTACATTTTGAAACAATTTTCTCTTAATCTTTTCATCATCATCAACATTGATGTCTGAAACGATAACCTTCCATTAAAAATATATGAAGAAAAAAAAGAATAATTTCTTTATTCATAAGTAATATTTATGTATGTAAGAATATGTGCACATAATATGAGCTGCTCTGCTCACATACCGAAATAAAAGCCGAACAGCAAAACAAAAAAAAAAGCAAAAAAAAAATTCAACAGGTTAAATTGTCGAGAAAAGCTTTTAAGCCGATAAAAAAAATTATAGCAAAGAAGAAAAGGCATTAAGGAATAAATCTTTCTTATAAAGGACTTATTCATTCTTTTACTTTGTTGTTGTACGCTGTGTCATAGTACACCACTTTACGTGTTATTAGAATTTTCTTTATATATCTACTATTTATATTACATTATAATTTTCTCTATGCCGACCAAAATGCGGGTTAAAATGCGGGAGTACAAAAGAAAAACAAAAATTTAGAACAATAGAAAAACGAAAAACGGAAAATGTTGCCAGGGTATTTTTCATCGCTTCAATGATTTCATATTTCCAAAGAATGAATATTTACTTATGGTATTGGCTTATAACTACATTATATATGTGAGTATATTATATGGGATTATAAAGTTGAATCAATTATATAAGAGTATTTTACATTAAATCTGAAAATATGAAATATTTATAAGAAAGAAAATTGTTACCATTATAAAAGTTTAGTGCAAAAAAATTAAAAAAAAAAATGACATTTTTTTTTATATTTCCTTCAATCTATGATTTGTAATGGGTGATTTTTTTTGAAACGTTTAGGAAATTCAAAGAGAAACATAGAAAAAATTGCAAAATTTCTATTAAATTATCAGTTGAGTCGACAAATCAATTTTTATCACATAGCTTTGTAAATTAATAAAATGTTATTTTACTTAAATATTGGTTATGACTTGCGCATTCGATAGGTAATCCATTCGAATGATATAATATTGTGCCAGTTTTTCGAACATTATTACCAATTACACGTTCAATATATTTGTATTGAAAGTTGCAATCAATTCCGAATGGTTGGAATATGAAAATTCCTTTGACTTGTAAAGCAGTGAAATTGAATAAAAGACAATATGTTTTTCATTCAAAGTTTCTGAATATTAACTAAACTATTATAATCAATGTACAGTATATACTAAAATGTATTGAGAGAAATGATCCTTAAAGTGTTGAACGAGGTGTTGATATAGTTATTTAACAAGATAATTCTCATATTTATATTTTTGATAAACTCGCTTCAAATCGCGCATTTACATTCAAATTAATTGGTCACACGCGACTGCAATCGTTTTTATTCATTATTCTTTAAATATTTCAATAATTTCTTTTAACATTTAATAAAATATTAACAATTTTAAAATAGGTTTCCCGTTATTCACAATGACAATTTAAAAAGAGAAACAACCCTTTAATTTAAAAAAAATCAATGACGATTTAACATTTTTGACAACTACAACAAATCATGCATGAAACGTCTAAATCAAAAACATAAAAACTAAACGGGAAAAAATCACCCGTTATTACTTTTTGTGAACAACAGTGGAGATTTTTATTTTTCCACAGAATATTGTGGTTCACATCTTACGCATTTTTCTTTCTTTTTTATTTTATTCAAGAAATCCTTTTTTTTTGTTGTTGTAATTTTTACAATTCACTCACTACATAAAATATCACAACTTTTACGTGAAACTTGTGGACTATAGTAAGATAATTTAAGCATTCAGCTCATAAAAAATCAATTTAAAAAGAGAATACCGAAATACAATAGTAAAGTGAAAATTATTGTTGAAACCCTCTGACACACTTATACTCATACCGTATATCTTAATACGATAGTTATAATATAGCTGTTCGAATAATTTTACCATTTCAAATAAAAAGGAAATACAAAAAATCAGAGGGACTCATGCGAATATTGTAAGAAAAAAAAATGGATTAAGCCATAACCAAGAATGTTGTTACAACTGAAATATTAGACTAATAGAACAATCAAATAAAAATTTTTTAATCAATTACAATTTATATATTTCATTTTTACGGTGACAAGTGTTATGTACAACATAAGTGCTAGGATACAAGGATTTGTTTTAAAGGAAATTTAAGAAACCACAAATTTTTTGCTAAAATATTTTTTAATTTAAGAGTTTAAACGCAATTACTTCTAAATAAATTAAATTTTTTATATTATTAAATTGTAATGCTGCGTTGATACGTAATTCAGCTTATAGAAGCTAATTGCTGAATTGTATAATAAGACATGTGAAATAGTATATATACTCGTACATATATAATTATTGTGTGAATTCCAATTGAAATGTGAATTAATTAAAAATTTTATTTAAAATACAAAACAAAAGAAAAAAAACGACATACCGCCTCCATTTTTGTAACACAAGTATGGAAATCTCCAAACATTGGCCAAATCTACTGCAAATCCAATAACTGATAATAAAAAGTCTACTTTGCCAGACCATGTTTCACGTTGTTCACTTTCTCCCCTTGTATTAGCAGTTTTTTTAATATCGGCTGTTGGTGACATCGCCAAGGCGCCGCCACACTCTCTTTCTGAAATTAAAAATTTATAATTAACTATACAGAAATTTAAAAATCAATAAGTAAACGAGTTTTAGAAATAACTTTCTTTTATTTTGACTGACACAAGCAACAACTTTAAGCAAATATGGAAAATAATTTATTCAGAAAATTAAATTTTTAATTGCCATAAAAATTTTAATTGTTATTAAAATATTTTAAGCTGATTATAATATATAGACTTTTGGTTAAACACTCCAATAATTTCAGTAATACTCAATTCAATCTCCGGTTATCATGATTTATAACTTTTATATCAAAATTCGTTGAATACAATTTTAAATTAAGTCTTTAGAAGAGGGTATTAAACCCAATTGCAAATGCAGAATAATCTGAATTGCATATAGTGCCACTATAAAACAGCAATTCTTATGTCAAAGCGATTCTCATTTTAGTAGTCGTTTCAAATATTCTATATTATGAAAAGCATTGACAATCAACTATACATATAATTGCATTGGTAAATTATTAACAAATAAATATTTTAATTTTAATTCAGATAATATGCTTATTGAATATAAATAATTTAATTCCTAAAATAAATTTTAAAAAAATTTTAAAATTAGAATATATATATATATATAGTATATGTAAATATTTAAATAAATAGCATGTAGATATACCTAAATATACACTTCAATAAATATACATACATATACATTTGTACATATATATTAATGGATGTATACAAGTGTACATACTTTAAAAACACTTTTATATTATTTAGAAAACTCTTGATGTCCGTTTATATGACCTTTACCCAAATCTCAACCAGAAAACCGTAAGATATTTATAATCCTTTTACACTATATACATACATATGTATGTATGTATGCATACATGATTTTTTAAGTAAACTCGACTATAACTTTTTATCGAAACACGTTTTAGGTTTGTAAATATTAAAATATGAAATTCAAATATGAAATTATGAAACATGAATTCCAAGTATATTAATTGTAGGTTGTAAAGGACGTCTACCAAAAAAATAATCCAATGTTAACTTGATTTATTAAGTTATACAATTTCGATTACTGAATAAGCAAAGTTGCACTAATTATTACATTGTAACAACTTTGCTCATTCAGTAATAGAAAAATATTGTACATAATTAAATTACACTAATATTACATTGATTTATAATTCAGCAATTACAACACATAAGCTGAATTGAATCTTAATGCCGTTTCAATGCTGTTTTGAAGTTAGAAAACCTTAGAATATAGACATAGAAAAAAATAGTACTACATTAGAAAATTTAATCATTTATCCATAACGATTATTGATGAGCGATACAATAATTTTATTTAGAATATTTTATTGCGATCAATTATTCCATATTATATAATTTGTTTTTCATAGACAATTTTTACAAATGATTATTAAATCGAAATTGTATCCGTAGTCTTACTATAAACAAGTTAAAGTGTAAAATTTTGTATTTTTATGCAGAAAAATTGCCTATGGTCTATAGTCCATACCATCGAAATATCATTAATACTGTGCTATTAAATAATTCAGCTTATCACTTATAATTGCTGAATTATGTAATAACACATAAATACTAATATTCCGATATCAGAGACGCTAAAGAGACTTAAAAATTTGGCATGAAAACTCTTTATTGAGATAGTAGAACAGAATGAAATTCTAAGGCTAACCTTACTTATTCGGCAATAAAAATTAGAATGCAAATTACTTGTAATTAAGGTATTTTTTAAGGTACTAAACATAAGACGAAAATTAACAAATATTTTCCAAAAATAATGATTATGAACCAAAGTTGAAATGTTAAATGTGTGTATAAACAGAAAAATACTTAATAATAATCATGAGTCCATCATTAATACTCTTACTTTTTTTTATATACATATCCGAAAATAATTATAGTAAATTGATTATGATGATGAATTTTTACTTGTAGGAATGCGTCACTAAATAAAAATGTCAGAAATATTGATTAACATCCTTTTTTACACAAAAAAAAAAAAACATTTATTGTTAAAAATATTCAATTGATACTCTTTAGACTTCTGATTCTGAGATAAAAGTTGGGCTAAAAATTTTAAATTGTTATAAAATAATAGCATGAAAAACCAACAATTTATAAATCAAACATTAAAGTATCATTCATGTCTGAAACACCATTTACATATACACCCACCCACACAATTTTAAATATACCTTTCTAAAGAGAATTATGACAAGGATATTAAAATCGACAAGAGAGAGAAAAAAAAGTTAACATGATTTTTGTTTTTTTTTTTCTTTTATCTCACTGTTTGTATTTTTTATGTGGTTTAATATCTGAATATGAAGCTTGTTTGTATATCGGTGCATATTTTAATGAAATTTTGTTGTTGCAAGAAAAAATTAATTACCTTTAGTGAAAAATGTGTGTTAAACGTTTACCGTGTTTAAAAAATAAATATTTTCGTAATTCAAATACAAAAATGAAATTATTTTCGTATTATCTACCCGTTACTTATAATTAATTGCAAAAATTATGCAAAATTGTTTTAAAAATGCAAAAATGTACAAAAAAAAATAGAGTAAATATCGAAGTGAATTGAAATTTTTGTGATTCTGTGAATTTAAAACTGCAGCAATGTCATAACACTATTCAGCAATTACAACTCATAAACTGCTTCATGTATTTAGTAGAGTACTAGATTTACTATACCGTCGCATTATTGCAATATTTTTACTAAATTAACACAATTCTCTTCACATGTGGTTAAATAAGAATACTATCGCAGCAAAACAATATTTTTTAACTGTGAAAATACTATCGCAACACTAATATTTAATTGTGTTTCTTTTAAACGAAGGTCAAAATCTTGATTACATTTCTTTTATTGCAATAATTATAAAGTTACTATTGTAACAATATTTTTAATATCGAGCATTTAGTGTTCTAATAGTATTGTAAAATTAATAAATTTTGCACAAATCGTATACATTTACATGTACATTTATTTAAAATATAAGAAAATAAATGAATAGAGGAATATTAAAAATATTTAATTATTAATTTCAAATTAAAGCAATTTAATTATTTTGCAATTAAGTCATGAGTTAATATGTAAGCTTAATATGCACAATAACAATTTTACTTCTATATACACAATCACATATATGTATACATTTCAATAAGAGTCATAACAAAATTGTTCATACATGGTACTTAAAGTGTAAATTTTATAAATTTGAGCAAAATCAAGCATGGATTCATATTAATTATGGCCTTGCTTTACTATAAATTCAATGTAATTTGTGTATTCAAAAAATGATATAATTATATAATTAATTAATTATACAATTAATTAATTGAAATTTTTTGATTGAAAAGCTTATATATAATGTAAAAAAATTTAATTCTTAAATAATTAAATTAAATTTCAATTAAGCAATATTTGAATCAGCAGTAATTATTGTGCAGAGCTCTGTTCAACATTGATTTCATTCCTGTGAGGGCAATATTGTGGGACGATATATGTATTTAATAAAATATTTAAGGAAATTTTCAGTGCATTATCTGGCTGAACTACATATAGAACGATTCTGAATGATTTTTTGGAATCAATTTATGGGTTAGTCTTGTATAAGAATAAAAATTCTGTTGAGTGTAAAGTTGAATTCATTTTGAAATTTTTGCAAGAATTTTTCTGAAAATCATAAATATCTACATATCACTTTAAATATATTCATAAATTCAATTCTATTACTATAAATACAATTTATCAATGTTAGGAAAAAAAATTATTGAAAACAATATAAATCTTGAAAAAAATTGCATAATTTAACATTATAATTAAATGAAATTGTATTATAAATTAATATTTGAGATAGAAAATACCATATAGAAGCGAATTTATACATATGTAATTACAATTTAATTTACATTTTACAATATTTACTAATGTAGACATTTTTATTATTAATTTTCAGAAAAGGTTATAGTAGCTGCTTAACGTCTCTCTTTATTTAATTGTTATATGCGAATTTATATTTAATTATAACAAATATAGTTGTTAAGCTGTTATATTTTAAAAGCTGGACAATTTGCATTTTATTTAAAATACTTTGATAAAGTTGCTAAACGCTTTCTTAAATGCTCACAAGCTCACAAATCTTGTTTATGTTTGCTCATGTTAATTTCAATTTGTGTTTTTATAATTAAATTTTTCCCGATTGGTTTAATAAATTATACAATGTGAATTTTTTTATTTTTATAATATAATTAAATTGAATAGTAGAATAATTAGTCATATTTTTTGAAAATATAAGAATTTAAAATTATTATCAAAGTTTTCTTGGTTGATTAAATTCGTGGATTGCAAAAAAATTTCAATTCGCAAAATTACTATTATGAAATTATAAAAAAGTAGGAAGTAAGATCGCGTGTGAATATTATATTTTGTCAACTTCTTTCTCGCCATCTACAATTTCTACTCTGAAACAGTCATTAAAATATAATATGAAATTCAAATCATGTTATACATTCACAAAGTTAACATTCCGACAAATGTTAAACAGGTTCTCATTTTGTACTCGTACGGGAAATAACTTCTCAACTTCAACTCAATATATTCAATTTTTGAGAACTCTATATGATCAGCTTTGTTCCATTAACGATTATTGTATGATTATATTTGGATGAATTATATTTGGATGAATTTTTAATATACTCCAAAATTTTTTATCCAGATGAATATTTGAATTTTTTAATGATCTTGAAATCTGAGAAATAGTCTGTTGTTTTTAATTAATACTCTTTTATCGCAGTATGTGGAATATGTATTTATTTTTCTTTTAAAAAATCATAAACCAGAACGTTTTAATAATTATGAATACGTAAAAATGTGAACAGAAGTAATTTAGAAAAAGAAAATATTTTTTAATCGTAATGTAAAACAATATTTTTATTTACCTATCTCGTGTTTCTGTGACTAATTGGGTATTTTATATTAATTTGTTCTTTGTATGTAAATTAATTTACATATTCTTTGAATTTTTTCATTAAAAAATTTTTGCTTTGCAAGTTGATGTTTATTAAGTATTTGCTTTTATGTACATTGTATGTTAGATTTTGACATTGTTTACCTTCCCCTTAAGCATCATATTCTTAGCATTCAATCCATTTATATGTCATCCATTTTTAACATCCATCTTAACAAATCGCATTTACACCATTGGAATTTAGAAGAAAAGTAAATACGTACATTTATATTTTATTATTACAGGGTACAAACTTGGATTACATGCACATAGAACTTCGTATTTAAATCCCCCTCTTCTAACTAGTGAGGGCACACATCCGATATAAGCCGATTATAGAAAATGATCTTAAACAAAAAGTGTAAAAGATTTATTCTTAATTTTACTTTGTTTCTTTAAAAGAAACCAAGATGACAAGAAAACAAATTTTGCTAACAATATTTTAGTTTCAATTGAGTGGGTAACACTGTATATTCACACCACTATCCATCCACCTGCAGTTCTTTTTTTTTGTTAAATATTATAATTTAAATATAAGTTTTATTGCCCCAACAAAAAACTTGTTTTAAATTCTATAATAAATTCCATTGTACAACTAAGTTTAGCTTTGCCTTCTTAAATTCTTAACTATACACAGATTTTTATGTTCTTTTTTTCTATATTTCTCACAGCTTTTATTTTTTCCCCGTATCTAAAAATATTTTTAACTTGCATACACTTTTATACTTCTATAAAACTTACATCTATAAATATGGAATAGGAAGGGGATCAAAAAATTTGTATAAATAATAAAAATTAATATTTTTGTGACAACTTTTACAAGAATTTTACAATTAGTATGCGAGAATATTTTGTTTAAACTTAGTAGCATAACTGAAAGAATTGAAAAGATTTGAACTAGTTTAACAATACTGTTTATAATTATTAACATTACCATATTTGAATTATTGACCACCATCTCTTTAAATCTAAATACGTATTATGATAATGTAAATTGGATTTATTCAGCAATTAGAAATGTATTACTGAAGTCAAGTTGAAGTTCTGAATATTATTTAATAATAGACGCCAATTATAAATTGAAAGTAAATTCAAAAGTTTACTTTCCGGAATTTCAACGGAAAGAAAGAATATTTTAAAATCTAAATGAAATAATAGTTTTCAGGTAATTTTAAATGAATGCTCATTGTTTTTTATGGAAGTTTTTAATTTATAATTAATTTGTTTATTTCAGGTTTTCTTTTCTTTTTGTACAAAAAAAAATATTTATTTTTTAAAATGTGGCTTAATTTAGTATTACCAGATTACAGAATAATTTAACAAATAAACGGCAAGTCAAACTTTTAATTTTCAAAAAAATGTAATTCAAAATTCATTTCCTAGTACGTATCTAAAACCAAAAGGGAACTCAAACTTCATAATATTATTAATTAAAATTTTTAATAATAATTTGATATTTTTTAAATAATTTTATTGTTTGTGTGTGTATTGAAAATAATTTAACTTAGAATGTGTGTATTGAAAATAATTTAACTTAGAATATATTTTAACATTTTGAGAACATTTCGAACTAATAAGGTAATTTCATACAAGGAAGTTATTGTGAATTGTTCTACAAGCACTTCTTAACTTACCACTATTAGAATCATCACATTGCATTTTTCAATTTAAATTTTAAAATTATTTTTAATTAACTTCTTTATGTTATTGTATATATTTTGTATGTACATAAATATATATTTAATTCAATTGAGTTTTATTTAAAAAAACAAAAAATTTTTTTTTACTCTAATGCAATTAAGCAACATGTAAAATTTTACTATAAACACATACTTTTTAACTCTAATTACTAAAATATTTACACATTTTACCAACTAATTTATATGTAAGTATGTATGTTTGTATATTAACACCACGTTATGATTTAATTTGCAATATATGAAAGCGTATATACTATATTAAACATTATTTTGTGTACAAAAATAATTAAACAACACGAAAACAAAAAAAAAAAAAAATGGAAAACAAAACGGGAAGAGATCTTAGTAATTTAAATGACTGTACAATAATGAAACCATTCACTTGAGAAATTTATATATTATACTTAAAATAAGATTCGGACTTGAAGCTGACTTGAAGCTAAACCAAATTAAAATTTTTTTTTTAATTTATAATATTTAACCGCGATTTAAGTAGTCAAGCCTAGCCAGCATCAAGAATAAAACAAATACAAGATAGACTATATAAAAATTCTCAACCACAAAATGAAATAAATCGAATATAAAAAATAAAAAAATAATAATAAAAAAACCCAAAGTAATAATAAATTTTATACACCAAATATAAGCGTTTAAATTTTTATATCCCTTCCACTGCCCATTCAAAGAGCTCTGTAAAAATAAAAAATACTTTGATAAATACTTTAATTATTGTTATTTTGTACATTTTTTTTAATGTTAATCAGTTAAAAATTAAAAAAAAATAATAATTTTCTGCATATAACGTAAAACAAAAAAAAAAATGGTAATAAAATGTAAGTTGGTTTGAAAATTTTAATAATAACCATTCTAATATTGTAGTGGTAATTTTTTGGTTTATTACTCTTAAATTAGACAACAGGTGCAAAATAATAATTTTATGTAATTGTGAATACTTTATAGTATAATTGAATAAATATTTTAGCACTAGAAATTATTGTGAATCAATAGTTTAATAATTTAATAAAGCACATATAATTAAACTAATGTGTTACTTAATTGAATTGAAAATTGTAAAGAAAAAATTAAAAAATATTATAAAATAATTATTAAATTTTCTGAATTATTAAATTCTTCTTAATGTTCTTATATGAAATTGTTAATGCAAGAGGATAATTGGTTTGAAAATTTTCCGACTGTGAGCAAAAATTTATTTTAAATTCTTAGAAATTCTTATCCAGCTTTTTTTTTTGGTACAGAACATATAATGATAAGACACCATTAAGAGAAGAGTGTCTAACATACAATAATTCAAAACCCAATGAATGTACTACATGTGTATATGGATAGTAATGGTGAAAATTCAATAGGAAAATAAATATTCTTAAAAGCAAAGTCATAGTTACACCAAATTTTAGTGGTTACTTTAAACCCAAACGAAATATAATATTTAATTTTTAATTGGAATGGACTGAAGTCACTTATAGATCCATAAACCAACCATATGTTGCTTGGTTGAACATAGAATATAATGGTGAATATAGAATATAGTTGAACTACAGGTTGTTGATCTATATGCTTGCTATCTCAATAATTATATTTTTGTATATATAAATTAGTTATTGTACAAGAATTTTTTAGAAGTTAACAGCTCCGTAGGTAAATTTGAATAATTTGCATTTATTGCTTTTATACAGAATTTACTCATAAATTTTAATCGCACATTTAATAATTATCAACCTTGAATAATATTAATTTGAAAAATAACGAAAATACCAATCTTGTGTAGTTAGAGCTACCTTGAATTTTTTCTTATATTTTGTTTTTTCTTTTTCAAATTTCCGGCACTTTTTATATTTGTTTCTTTCATAAATTAACAATTACTTTTCAATTTTTAATAATGTCCCATTTATTACACTTTGAACTTGTTGAAATGCATATTTTTTTGGATAATTGACTAACAAACGAAAAAAAAAATTTTTTTATTAATAATTGAGAAAAAAATTATAATTAATAATAATTGATATGAAAAGGTTAAATAAAATAGTAATTAAAACATTTATTAAAAATTTCAAATACGTTTAAGAAAATAAGAATTTATAGAAGTTAGAAATTTTGTGTAAAAAAGGGTTGAGAATTTTAGAATATTCGAAAAGTTTCATTAGCTAAAATCTTAAATTTCCTTTGAATTTCTCTAGTAGAGCGCAAGTACAAAAAATTAACAAATTTCTATTTAAAGGATTTAAATCATTATATAATCATTATAATAATCATTAAATAATCATTAATTTTTTAATTCAATTTAAGTTTTTCTTTCTCTCACGTGTAACAATCGGTTTTTCCTGTCAAACCCAAAGCTCTATGAAAAGCATAAAATTTTGCGACCAAGAAAAGAATGTTAATCACGTTTACCCAAAAATTAGTACAAAATAATAGTTTTCAAAAATCATTTAAATAAATATAACACCTAATTTACCTTCGGTGATGCATTTTTTTGTTATAATAATTGAAATAATTCAAACAAAGTGAAGCGGTGATGCTTACTTGTTCATTTTTTTTTTTTTAAGAAAAGCCACACGAAAAATACCATTAACAATTTTTTTTTTTCTTTTTTTATGTTTTTGATTTCACTGGGATTTCCAAGCGAGTTTTAAAAATATTTCTAAAAATATTTAGATTAAAATTTTTTGAATTTTTTTTTTTATTACTTAATCCGAATCGTCATAATAATATTGTAAGAATAATAGAGAAAGACGGAAAAGCAAAAAAAAATGTGAATATAAGCACCTTGTTAAGAAAAAATCTTTTAATAAAGTAAAAAGTAAAGGCATGATTTTGGAATCAGTGTAAATCAATCTTCTATTTTAAATTATAAATGAAAAACTAGTTTTGCTTGTTTTTTTTCATATGTTAATTTTAATAATAATAAAAAAAATTTTTCGTCATTTTACGTATTAAATTATTTTACTCAAAACACGTACTCACAATTCAATACTTTAAGTAGAATAATATAAAAAAGCAAGCTTACAAGCTTGTCTAAGTATACTTACTAGTAATTTTAATTAAAAAAAAAATTATAATCATAAATAAAAATTATTTTAAAAATATTATATAAAACATAATAATTAATGAACTCTTTCTTTTTATCAGTTAAAATATCCTATAATTATTCTGGATCCGTGTATTTATAGATACTTCTGGAGTTTTTTATTTAAGTAGCTCCTATTAAAATTACAGATTTTTAATATTGATCATTTGGACCATAAAAATTTTGACTGAATAGTATACAACATTTTTTTTTTCATTATTTCTAAATAAAAAATTATTGCGTTTTGTAATTCTTTTTTATAAAATAATTCAAGATGTTCAAACTCAGTGTTGATTTAAAATTAAAAAGATAAATTTTGTATATGTTAATTATTTAAATTTAATTTATTTATATAAATTCAAACATTATAATTAATAAAATATAATAATAAGTATATAAACCAAACAAAAAATTTAAATTAAATTTTAACTAACTATTTAATTTTTTGTATATTTAAATTAAGACTGCAATATTGAATTAAGTAGTCACCCATCATTTATATAATCATAGTATTTATAATTATATTGACTAAATATAATTTTATAAAAAAAAAAAAATACCATTTAATTTTAATTATAATTAGTGAACATTACTTGTTTTTTACTTTATTTTTTACTATATTTTAAACATAATAAAACGACACAAGATATCAAACTGATAAATTTTTAAAATTTCCATTCAATTTATACTGACCGTATAGATAATTTTTAATTCATAAAAATTATATGCGCAAGACCTTTGCTTTTTTATATATATTATTTTTTTGTTTTATTATTTTAATTTTTCACTTCATTTGTATTGTTTTTATTTTATTTCAAAAAAATAATAAAAATATATGTTAATACCTATAAGTGAGAAAAAAATTTAATGATATAAATATAGAAAATCACCAAAAATTTTAAAAACAATTATTATACTAAAATTGTTTTACAATTTGTGTCAGTCTTTTATCTAGGTACTATATTTAAATATTAGAATATCTGAACTGAAAGCATAGATTTGAGAAACTTCAAAGTGACTATTAAGAAGAGTTTTGAGTCTATTTTACGAAAAATAGTATTACGCATTTTACAAATGCGGACTATTTGTTAAGCCGTAAATTGATAAAATATGGTCCCCTTTGAATTGTGTACTACAAGTGATTTTGATTTGAAGTGGAGTTTGATTTTCTTTAAACTATTTGATAAATTTAAAATCTTGTACTACAAATGATTCTACTAACTATGGTTTTAAATTCTATTGATCATTTTTATAATAAAATAATTGAATTTACATTTAAATTAGATCATAATTTAATTATGATAATGAAAATAACAAAAAAATCAAATCAATTTAATGTAATATTTTTATGCTTACATAAATATTCTACTTAATAAAACGAGATTTAATTTAAACAATTGATTCATCTCCAAACACCTCAATTCTATACTGAATCACAATCTCAAGAAACACCTGAAAATTCTTTAGAGGAAATTAAAATGTAAAAGAAATTATGTAATTCTTTCAGAAATAAATCTTATTATTTGTCCAATTTTAAAACGCGTTATATTTAATTTATTTTTCAAAACAATTCAAACGTATAAAAAAAAATTTAATTTAATTAATTTTTAATTTAATTATTAATCATCTGGCATTTGATTTATTTCAACAATTTTCTTTCTAACTCCAAAAAGTAATACTCTCATTTGGTCATATTTTCCTACTGAGTCAGGTAAATTCTCAAAATTGATAACATCACTAACACCTTCTTTAAACAAATGCCCTGGTGGTAATTTTTCATAAGGGGAAAATTTTAAAATTGGTGTTCCCACTATAGAACTTTTTAATATATTACTACTTGATTTTTCATTAATTTTACTCTCGTCGTCTGTTTGGAAACTGTTTTCATCCATCAAATTTTCACAAACCAATTGATCATTTTCATCGGTTTTATTTGTCTGGCAAATTTCTTCGTCTTTACTTGCTAAAATTGTTTTAATAGGATTTTCTATTTTTGACTTTTTTTCTTCGATTTCCATTCCATCACTTGAATTTAATAGTTTTAATATTTCGGCTTGTTTTACTTCAAGGGCACTGAGTGATAAATCTTGATAATTAGTGTCCACACATGCATTTGAACCACAACTTGATAATTCGGTTTCTCTTATTTCTCCTTCATCTTCCGGAGGAGGAGGAGTCTGGGGCGGTTCTTCGGCTGGAGGTGGTGGTTGATTCTTTAAAAAGTATGGCAAATTTTGACTTATTTCTTCAAATTCTTTTTCATCTACTTCCATATCAGCAACATTTGTCACTTCATCCACAATATTTTCAGTTTGTTCTACATCAATTTTTAACTTTTTTCTTTTGTAACCCTGTTTGGCTGCGTTAAGGGCAAATGATTTTATAAAATTTTCTTTACTGTCTTCAAAAGAGAAGGGTGGTACACCTTGATAACTATAGTCCTAGGAAAACAAAAAAAGCTTAGATTCTCAGAAATTTGAATGAAAATATTCAGTTACGTCAAAGTATTCAACTCCAGGATGAACATTGAATCCAGGAAAATCAATTATTTTTGACAAATCATATTTTAGCTTTGATTCATCAAGTTCACCTTCATCGTCATCGCTTCCAAGTATTGTGCAACCCTGAAATTGAATTCTAAAACATTTAAAAAAAAACAATTATTTTATACTTTTGAACCAAACAGATTTATGCCTGAATGTGCAACTTTCGCTTCCTCAAGCCAGGCAGGTGGATATTTAAGAACTCTCATTCTATAAAACATTGGCGGGATTTCGCTTATATTCAAACCCATAGCGGTCCGTAATTTTTGACTAACTTTTCCAGGTTTAATATGAGCAAATCGCTGCTCAACATCAATATGATATCTCTCAACCTTCATATTTTTAAGTTTTCTAGCTTTGTTTATCTTTTTCATGTTTCTTGGCAATTCGCAATCCTTCAAAGCATGGTCACCATCACAATTAAAGCATACATTTTTTATTTTATTTGAATTTAGGAAATCGTTTTCAGGCTTAACTTCTTCTTGTTCTTTAAGAACACCCTTTCTGAATCTTTTAAAAAGCGGAACAGGCTCCGAACCCTTTTCTTCTGTAGGAGTTGTATCAAAAGTAAAGCCCAAGTCTTCCACAACTTCATTTGCATCCTGGCTATCACCTTCTATTTCAAAAAAGTAAAATTTATTGCTCTATATAATTTTGACTTAAGCTATCTCAACCTCCCCATTCTGAAATAATTATCAAATCGTTAGTATTTCCACCACCGATTGGTTCCTGATTTTGGTCCTCCGTGCCCTCGTTATCTACTTTGTTTTCAACTATATCATTGGATTGCTTGCCTAAATTCTCATATTCTTCACTCTTATTTTCCCCATCTGAAATTAAAAGAATAGAATATTTATCTTAGTTTTCTCATTAAAATGTTGAAAAAACAATTTTAAGATTTTTATGTTGAACAAAACCTTTTTCAGATGATGTTGGTATTGAATTATAATTTTTGAAACCCTCAGTTTCTACGTGAAAAACCTTTTCTTCCTCTTTCTTAACTATCGCGTCACATTCACCATCCATTTCCAATACATCATCTAAAATCCAAATCAATAAAATAATATTGCAAATTTAATAAAGAAAGAAAACAATCGCACCATTCATTTTTTCTATTTTGCAGAGATTTTGTAAATTTATTTTACTTTTGTTTAGAACAACAAATCATTGAAAGTCAAATTTGACATTTCGAAAATTTCCCTATAAACTAAAATTGTCACATTTAAAATTACAGTAAAACGAGCTCAATGGTAAAATGTAGTAACATAAAAATATTTTTCATGAATGAATACTTTGTGATTAGAGGTGTTGTGTCAACCAATTTATAATATGTATTATAAAAATTACGTGGAGATTAATGAAAATTTTTCATCCTCATTCAGCACATTTATGTATGTTAAAACTAATCAAACATCCCAGCGATAACTTCGACAACTCGTTGTTTTTAACTATTAATTGGGTTTATCTGTGGCAACTGGAAACGCATGATAGACCACTTTATCACGCATAAATGTTAACTAAATTTTGTAATGTACCTACATAGTTCACGTACATATTTCTGAAGTTTTACTTGATAAATATCGGTTTTTTTTCAATTGCAACAATGACATAACTCAGAAAACAAGCAATTATATTGGCAAAAATGTTGATTTGACATAAAGTTAAATGCCTTTAGTGTGAAATTTCAAAAAGTTATAATTCTCGGGGATAAAATAAATTTGGCGATTTAAGATTTCATAGGCATTTTTGTTTTTTAGCTTAGAGATTGAATCTAATTAGATTAAGAATTGCCACGACCTGATTAAATGAAAAAAATTTGTAATTTGATAGCTCTGATTTTAAAATCGAACGCTATAGAGCTTATTCTAACTTATAATTAGTAATTTTTTAATTCAAATTTGTTTAAAAAGAACACGCAATTTTAACTGATATTTTCTAATTCTCTACGGTGAAAAACAAATGCACATCTATTTTTTGACAGATCTGAGTCTGCTCTGACATGTCAGTGCTTCATACACCCTGTATAAGAATATAATACAGAATTCAAGAACATATCCACTTACATGTACATAACAAAAGCACCCCCCCGCCCCCCTTCCTTTTCCACTTCTTCAAAATTTTCAATAAGGCATCTTGGAGTCAATAATATATAAAAATGTACATACTGTGTTTGCATTAATGTATGTACTTAAACTATATTATGTTATTTATGTCCCACATATTATATGTAGATATGTACGTATAAATACCTGGATATGAATATATCAATCAGGTATAGAAAACTTAAAAAATTATTTCGATACAATGAATCGATTAAATTTTCCAAAATTCACCAAAGAAAATATGTGATGATTTTTATAGAGGGTGAATAAAAATTAAAATTATATTTGAAGCGTTCCTAAAATATGTATAAATAAAAGGATTAAACATATAAAAGAAAAGACGTTATAATTAAAAGTAAAAATCGTATTATTATTTACTTTTCATTTACCTATTTTTGAATTTAAAACAAAAACACTAGTAATTGAACTAAATATTTTTTTTTTTTTAAGAAACATTGTAAAACAATATAAAACAATTTTATAAAAACAATGGAAGAATAAGTATTTTATAATTTTATGTATATGCATGTAAAATATTAGTGAAAGAAGTTCAGTATATAAAAAAAACTAGAAGATAATTTCGAGAATTTGTTCAAACTACATATATGTAAATTGAAATTAAAAAAAAAAATAATATTTTAACAAATAAATGTAAATAGTATATATGAATAAATATGATTTTTTATTCTTATAATAATAAAAAATACAAACTTACAGAACTACTGAAATTATAACGATTTTTGTTTTTTCTATTTATTTTTTCAAATTCAACAAAATGATTATAAATGTTCCTACAATTATCTAATATGACATCAAATGTGTAATAAAAAAATAAATAAATTTTAAAAACTTATACAAGTTTAAAATTTAGTATGCAACTATTATATTTGGTTACGTTATTGCAATTTAAAAACAAAACATCATGAATGAAGAGTAATGTTCAAAAAAAAAAAAAAAAATTGACACCTGGAAAAGTTTGTGCAAAATGATGATCACCTTACCAATTTAATTAATTTTTAACAAAATTTACTGTATTCCTAATAAATTTTTCATACAAAATGTGTCATACGTACCCTTATTTCAATAACCATTTCAATTTTTTAACTGTGCTGTGTATTTCAATGACATAGCTATGTAATTGAAAAATACTTCCTTTATTATTAATTTTATTTAATTGTTAATATTAAATGAGCAAAAGGTTTTTTTGTGAATATTATAAAAACATTTTAGTAATTTATTTCACAAATTTAACATTATATTTTATGTATTTTTAAAACCAATTTAATTTAAAAAGTAGTTTATTTTTTTGTTTTTTTTTTTTTTTTTTTTGATTTGATAAGGGAAGTCTTCGATTTTAAAACCATAAGCAATTAAAACATTTTTTTTTTACCATTTTACATTTGAATAAGACATAACCTAACAAGTTTTTATTTTATAAATTTTTTATTTAATTTTGATTGCGAATATGTGCTATTACTCACTAAGATAATTTAGCTTCTTTACTATTTTCAGTCTATTTTTCGTAATTGAATAAAAAAAAAAATCCAAATAACAAAGGTGTGGCATACTTATTTCAAATAATACAAATTTGTCGATAAATAAAAGTTAATTATTTAATTTTATAGCAAAAGAATTAATTTTATGTAAATTAGAAATTTAATAACAAGAAAGTTACCCAAGTAATATTAACAAGAATTTAATTCACTAACAGATAAAAAATGCAAATGTAACGAATTTCAATATTTTTTTATTTTTTTTACCAATAATTTTAATTTGATTTTATTAGTATGTTCAAGAAACATCTAAATATCTAACGACAAAGTTATATTATCTGGTATTCCAACTGAAACTTAAAAAAAAAATATATAGTTTTTAATTTATGATAACCTGTTTGAGCTTTTTTTATTTTATTTAGTTGTCTTCTTCTTCGAGACTTTTGTTTTTGTCCTGTTCATAACTTTCTTCTATTTTTATAAACTTTTATATTCAAAGTTAAAATATATTTGAGTCACTGTTTTCTTTTTTGTTGATTTTTTTTTGTTTAATTTTTTTTTTGTTTATACAATTATAATAAATAATTACTTTCACTTCTATACAATTTAATTATAAATTAAAAATCGTTATAAAATCATTTAGTAAAATTAGTTAACGAAAAAAAAAAAACAAACAATATATAAATACATAATTTTTTCATTTTAGAAGTAATATTTTTGCGCAATTACAATCGATTAATGTTGTGTTTCTTGTTTTCCAAAAGACATTGTTTTTTTATTTAAAATATTTAAAAAAAATGTTATAATAAAAATAAATTCAAAAAAAAAAAAATTACATATTATTGTTTTGAATTTAGCAGATTTTCATTTTATATAATAAGTTGGAGTTTCTGCAAAAATTTACAACAAACAAAAAAAAAAAATCATCACGAACATTGAGTAAAATTCGATTGTCTTTTTTTTTCTAAAATATTTTTCAAGTCTTAACTTTTCTTGTAATGGAGCTTGCCCCGAGAATTGAATTACTTATTTTGTATAGTGATATTTATAGTAAATTGTTCGATATTATTATTGTAAACACAAATCATTCCATACAAAATATTTGTGTCTACAATGAATTTTTTTAAATTTATACGATAATACAATGTTATAAGCGATTATAAAATTTATACACTATTACCATAAGTGATGTGCTTCTCAGGATAAGCCCCTTAAATTTTTCTTTAATTTCTTACAGAAAAAAAAAAAATATTAGATTAAAAAATTTGAGTTTTTTATTTTTGACTTTTGGATTTGAAAACAACATTTATCTATACATTATATATACATATGTATATACGTATACATATAAAAAACATATACATATACACATGTATGTAGAAAATGTACGAACATAATTATACTAGATATTTGGACAAGAAAACAAATTTTTTTTTTATGTATATAAATTTATAATATCAAAAATTGTAAATTTTGCAGACTTCAGATTATATAATTGCATATATACGTATACATAATGCTTACATAAATGAACTCAATCATTATATTTGTATTTATGTATATTTAATTTACAATTATATATTTTATACTTCTATATTCTGAATTTATAACATGATATAATATATTTTGTTTATTTACATATAATTATATGTAAATATTTACATTATATACATAATATTTTATTTCTATGTACACACATCTCTATATGTGTTTTTGACAACTATGTATGCATATATGTATATGTATATACATTTTTTGGCCACTTTGTTTTTGTTTTTTTTTTTTAGTTTTTTTTTTAATCTACATTTTTGTTACATTTTGTTTTCTGATTGAAATTTGACTTTGTTTTTTTTTTTACTTATACATTAAATAATAAATGACATAACTTAATACAAGATTGTTTGCTTTGATATAATTTCAAATTGTTTTTAAATTATCTTATATTTTTTTTTTGTTTTATTATATTTGACGCGTAAAATTAGCTGGAAACAATCCTTTTTCCCCTGTCGATTCTTTTTCACCCATAAGCCAACCTTCTTCCTAAAATATTTAAAATGTATTGTGTATGTTAGTACATAGTTTGTTTACATAATATGCATATACAGTCATTTTCGATTTTATACGAACCTGATCTTCTGGATCATCATATTCTATTACTCGGATTATGTCTCCAACTTCAAAGTTAAGTTCATCAGCGTCTTCCTTTTGATAGCTGTAAGTGGCTTTGACACGATACAAAACTCCAGGTGGAAGGTCATTTGTTTTAGCGCCTTTTAAATAAAAACACAAAATTAGTATTTCTTATTTTAACTTAAAAAAAAAACTAATTATATTTGAGACCGTAAAATCAATCACGTATAAAAAAAATTAATTAAAAATTAGGTATGTATACTAAATTTAATTAATAATATTGACATATTGTTTTTTTTTTTAGAAAATTCATTTTTGCTGCTGGTTATGCAACTTTGCAAAATAAAATCTAAAAATATTTAGAAGATATTTTACCATGCTGAGCCTATTAACCTTTCTTTACAGAATAAAAAATAATTTTACATCAGTCTATTATTTAATTACATTTAAAAAATTATTCGTTTATTTTAATTTGAGATTATATAGAAACGCATATAAATTTCCAAGGTTCAGTATCTTTATTCAAAAAATTATGCAATTAGTTGAATTATTTCAAAATTAGTTAAATTGTGCTTTCAATTGAAAATTTAATTTAATTAATGTGAGAGGGTTTTGTTCATTTAAAAATAAAAAATTGTGCTTGTTATTAATTAATAATACTAGTAATATAGAAGAAGTGCACATTCATAATATTAGAAATAAACATTCGAGTAAAAAATTGTACAAAACAGTGTAATGAATATTGATAAGATTATGCAGCTTTCCCGAGAATAGCATTGAAAAGGAAATGTTCATAAAGAATTGTTGTATATTATACAGCTTTTATATACATACTATTTCGAAAGACGAAAATTATAAATTGTAAACAATTACTAAGAGTTTTAAAATTTAAATCAGGTGACCTAGACTTGTAGACCTAATGTTGATTTATTGAATTAAGCCAGTCAGATATTTTATCTAATTTTTACAAGAGTTTTTTGAAAACGGAAATTCAGCAAATAAATGAAAAATTTTCTATTTAATCAAATTTAGTATTTTATCATATTTTTAATTAGCAAATTGCTTATTGTATAAAACAACTAGAACGCTTCGCCCAAATATGTTTGTAGTATGCACTCTTATCTTCTATTATTTTTATAAAATTACATAACAATTGAATTTATTTTAAATAACCTTAAAAAAATATTAATTAAAAGGTTTTTTTTTTTTGTTAATCATTTTGGTTAATCATAAATTAAAAAAGAAAAAACAAAATCAAAGAAAAATTGCACCAAAAAAGCGCACACTTGACATAAAAAATATATTTTAACAAAATGAATAAAGGGCTCTTCGAAATTTTTTTTTTTATATTTTCATTTTTAATTTTATTTTCTTTTTTTGATTTTGCTCATTTTTCTCTAAATTTCATTTACCTATTGGAATAGATTTTACTATACTTTTCTCCATATTCCCATTAAGATGTTCAGTTTTATTATTTTCATTATTATTTGAGCTTGTTAACTTGGTATCAAAATTATTTGAAACTGGATTTTGTGGCTGTAAATTTTTATCTTTTTCCTCATCTACATTTTCTACTGAAGTAACATTATTTGATAAATGATTTGTCAATGGTGAACTTCCAGATGCCGCCGTTGGTGTATTTTGATATGATGGCTCGTTATCAATATCATTTTGTTGGTCTAATTTATTATGAATTTTTGTTTCAGTATTTTTATTTATAGATTCATTATTGTTGATTGTTGAAGGAGTTTCAATATTAGAAGGGGAATTAGATGTTGTAGGACTCGCTATTAATAAAGTGTTACACAAAAAAAAAGTAAAAAACAAAAAAAAAACATAGGAAAAACAAAACATATAACAACAATTATTGGCACAAAGCTTTTTAGTATTTTTAAATATTATTATTACTTAATTATTTTTTGTTTAGTTATGAGCATTTTCAATACATAAAAGTTTTCTTTCCATAAGCGGGCTAACATTTTTTTTGAATTCGATTATATAATTAATTTCTCATGTAAAGAATATGTACATTCATATTTTAATTAAAGTTTTAAATACTTGTTAATTATATCGAATTATTTTATCAAACACACTTTTGTTAAATTGCACTCTTTACATAATGTTATAAATTTCTATAAAACAAAAAAGATCTCATTATGTATCTCACCTTTGCTCACCGTGTGAGAATAGAATGAGTGAGCGTCACATAATACAAAAATATATAAAATTCAATCACTCCCTCAGTCACTTTCTTGTAGAAACTGACAAGTTTAGTTGATATTTTGAGAAACAAATAAGAAAATCCAATTGGAGGAAAATACTGATTTGTAAATTACCGAAAATGGTGACTGAAAAAGTGAGATACTCTTATTTTGTATTTTTATTTGAATGATTTCAAATAAGAAAACAAATGTAGTTTTCAAGATTCTTCTTCTTCTTTTATTCAATAAATTGTTCACATTTAAACAACTTGATTAAAAGAAATCTTTTATTTTTGTAACCAATATTTTTTCGAAGAAATTTTAGAAGATAGAAAGAAAACATTTGGAAAAACATAGATTCATTGCAATTAAGAATTTAATTAGAAATTAAAAACTTTCATACAAAACGCATGCTCATTTAAAAAAAAAATATATTTGGTTTTCTTTTTATAATTTTAGCCTCAAATTATTTTTTATTTATTAAAATTTACTTACGGATACTAGTATTATTGGTCTGATTTGAATAATTAGCATTTTGTTTATTTTTGACAGAGTCTGGTATAATTTTCAAGGCATTGTCTGAAAAATTATTGTAATATGGAACTAATTATTGTAAAATTTATTAATATTCTCTTCGTTTACTTTTTATTTTTTGTTACAATGACCATTATTTTTATTACTTACTTTCCGATTTTTTCAAAGTGTATGATCCCCTCTGAGAGTCCGTTGCTAATTTATCAACAATAGCCTCTAGTTCCGCATACAACTACAAAATTATACAAAATGTTTATTAAAATTACTAAAGTAAAAATTAAACAAAATTACAACCTTAGAAGTTTCACTGTGAAAAACTTGTTCTGAAGCAAATAAAGTTTGAAGATTTGTTACCAAAAATAAAATTCTTGAATCAAAAAGTGCTGGCAATTCATCATGCAATTCTGTGTTTAGTATTTCATAAATACGTCGTGCTTCTTCCAGTTGTTCTCTTCCTTTGGTTAACTTTTTTAATTTAAAATTATTAATTTAGATAAAATTCTTTATGTATTTATAGAGCAATTACTTTAACATCGTCTTTACGTTTTGATGCATTTGCTTGTAAATTTTGGAAAGAATGTCTTTGACTGTCATAATCAATTAATTTGCGATTTCTTTTCTCAACTTTTTTCTAAAAATAATTATAAAAAAAAATTAATAAAAATTATTGTTTAATTAAGAAAACAAACCTTCATTTCAGGAAATTGTCCAGTATAAGTATTTAGTGGGACTAATACTTGATCTCCAAGTTTATGGGAAAATTCTTGCCATAGGGCATCAGTTGCCTGAGCTTGTGTTAAAACTGAATCATAACCACTCCATTGTGGTTCATATATTTCACATATTGCGTCCATTAAAGATTTTGATGCCGATTGAACAGCTATTAAAAATTTTTTTTTTTTAAAATTAAAGCTTTTTTGTATTATAAAAATTTTTAATTTTAAAATTAAATATTTAAAAGAATTTCAGGCCCGATTCTTTTCGAAATATATGCATAATTTTTTGAAACGAGTATTTGATAAATAACAAATGAAATATAAACTTTGAACCACGAAAAATAATTTATTGTTAAATTATAACACCGGTTGAATCAAACCTTTGTCATTTGACAATTTAGTAATGGAACGTAAAATTTCAATTGAATGTTATAACCGTTAATAAGAAACTTTCAAAATATGAACAATAGTCTTAATTAATATAAATCCGGCAATGATTGTCGGCAAACTTGAAGATTTTTGAAATTAAAAATAAGGGTTGTTCGAAAAGAAACACGATTAGAAGAGTAAAAAATTTTCAATTCGGCGTCAAAAGGAGTAAATTAATTCTTTTGTTTTCACAAAAGCCCGACTTTCCCTATAAATCATTGTAAGAATTTGTTTTCGTGCTTTAAATTTTAAGTAAGTTCCTTGGTGAATCATTTTACTCCTAACTGTTAAATAGCCATAATTTTTTACGTGTTGATTTGGTTATAACTTATATCAGGAATTTTTGCGTTTGCTCGGCCTTATACATATAATATCTTATGCGTGTATGTGTTATAATGAAAAAATTCAGGTTTAGTACTCTACCTCTCACACATCTAATATAATTATTAAATTCTTTTTGCAATTTATTAGCATTATTGTATTGTCGATTAAAATTATTTATATGTTCATCAAATATATCATCGGCAGTTCGGTCCACTTTTCCCAGATTTTGGAGTATCTAAAAACAATTATAAAAAGAAAATTTAAAAAATCAAAATTAATTAATCAATTTTTGAAATTTTTTAAATTAAAATTTAAAATAAAGCATTTTCATTTTATTTCTTTACAAAATTTATAACTCTACAAAGGGAACATTAGAAAGTATTTTCATTTCGTTTTTTCTTTTTATTGCACATACTTTAGTTTAATGATAAAAATAGTTTCCTTGACATTTGTTTTTGTTGTATTATATTTTTATTTTCATTTGTCTAAAAATAAAATTCTACATTTTTTTTTTTCTTGATATATTTTCAATTCGAACATGTTATCATCACATTAGAAGATTAAGAGAAAAAATTAGAAAATAGTACAATTGAACTTGTATTATTTATTAATTAGTCAACCAGGTTTTTGCCTTTTTTTTTTGTTTTACAAAATACAATTAATGTTCTCTTTTAGAATTACATACTATTCTACTATAATTATTTTTAAAATTTAGGGTTTGTAAAAAAGCACATTTTCTTTTAAAAGTTTAATTATTTTAAACTATCATTTGGTTGGGGGTTTATCTTTAGATCTGATTTTAATGAATAGCAACTTTCAAGAAAATTTATGGGCATTTTCGATAATTCAGATAGACACTTAAAGTTCTAACTTAAATCTTAAAAATCTGTTCTCACATCATTACAGATCTACAGGAGCTGACTAGTTTTCGGATTTGTAACATATTAAATTTTTCTACGTGATTTTTTTCAAACTTGAAGTATTTTTGAAGCATTTGAAAAAAATCTTTAAAAATACTTTAGAGCTTTAAGTATGCTGCGACTTTCGAATGTGCTAGTTTTATATAAAAGATTTAATGAACATGCTACATTAAAATTTTATAGTTTTGATTTATTGAACATTAAGATCTAAGCTAGAACACAATTTTCGAAAATTCCCTATAAGTACTAACATAAAGATTAAATTGCATTTCTGGTTAATTTATAGTTAAAGCATATAAAATACACTTTTGGGTTATTAGGACGATAACAATAACATTCTTGCTTTTATAAAACTTCAACAGGACTTTCTTATAGTGTTGAAGGAGAGACAAAACTTAGAGAAATTTTATTCTACAATTATTGATATTAGTATTGAGAATTGCCGTGCTTCTGAAATTTTTTTTTTTTTTTCAAATAACGGTTAATATTAAAAAATTTTAAATATAACGGTTAATATATTTGTACAATCTCACAACTGTTTCTGTTTTGTCTACTTTATAGAAAAACTTAGTTCTGAACTATCTTCGCTTACCGATTTTACAAATTGCATTCGGGTTGGACACTGTTTTGGAAGAATTATAACTTGTAAAATTTAATTTTTTTTTTGGCAATATTTTTCTTTTTGCTGCAATAATTTACTCATAATATGCATTACATCTTTCTAAATAGAAAAATGTGTAGGACTCTTGCAAAAGGACGGACAAACAGACCGAAAAACAGAAATTATAACTAGCAAGCAAAATTTCTTCTACGAAATCATTTTGGAAATGTTCTAATAATAAAATTTTGGGACTTTTTCCCCAAAAAAAAAAAAAAAAAAAAAACAAAAATCTAGGACAATTTAAGTTGTTAAAATTTTATGAGAATCAAATTTATTTAAAAAACAAAAAAAAAAAAAATATTCCATTTTCAAACAAAACTGCGCAAACAAGAATAATAAAAAAAAAAATCAGATATATGCAATTTTTGTTTTCCCTCTTACTTCAAATATAATGTAAATCTAGAAAAAAAAAATGTTTAATAATACTTTTAGAACACACCGCACATACATGCATAAATTTACAGTTAAAATAAATATGTGAAGGTATACAAAATAATTGTATATTAAATAGGCATTTAAATTTGCAATAATTTTTGTTTAGCATTTTATTTTTCATAATAAAGATGCTCGAATGTATTGTTGCTCTTATTGAATTAAAAAGAATAAAAAATTCTTTATCGTTTGAAATTTGAAGTGAACAAAACTTTTTTTTTTTCTTTTTTCATTTCTCATTTGATTTTTTCGAGATTTCTTCTCGCTTATTTTCATGTATCGAACTTGTTCAGAAACAGAAAAATCTTATTTAATTTTTTTGTTTTTTTTTTTTTCTTAATTTTATATTTTATTCAAAGTATGTTAAAAAAAAAAGTTTTTCTTTATATATATATATATATATATTAATGTCGTCTAGAGAATATATGGAGCATCAACCTCTTTTTCGCGCGGAAATTACTTTTTCAAGAGAAAAAATTTTTTTTTATTCATGTATATAAAATATATTTTGTACAAAAATAAATTTTCTTTTAATTTTATGTTCTATGTATATTGGCTCTATCCTATCTAAAGAATTTTTCAATAAAGCTTTAAGTGAAATAAAGTAAAAATATAATATAGTTGATCTGTCTAACTCATAATTTTATAAATATATTAAATGCTCTATGTATTTATGCATGTACTTTTGTATTTTAAAAAAAAAATGTTTGACCAGATCAAGTATATATTAAACGTATAGAATTATTAATAATGAGAGTAAAACTGTTTAATATTGTCTGTATGTATTTTGTGTTAATAGTCAAAAGTAAAAAAAAAAAAAAGAAAAAAAAAGCTAATTTTAATTTGAAAACCATGTGTTGCTATTGAATTTATTTTCGGGGAATAAAAAAATTATAATTACTTCAAAAAAGAAAATTTAAATATTAGAATATTTCTTGTTTTTTTTGGAAAATTATTGAAATACACCAATATTTTGAATAACATACTTTTACAAAAATACTAATTTTTTCATTTACATGCTTACAATATACATACATAGATCTACCCGATTCAGTTATGTTTACTTACTAAAATATTCTTAATTAAAATCTCTTTTAAATTTTAAAACATAGATGGAGTTGTATTTATTTTGGAACCTTGGATGTTATAAACAAAATATTAAAAATGTAAAGCAATTCTATTTCTTTTTTTAAAGTTTTTTATAAAATGTAAAATAAGATCGACATTATAAATAAACAAAAAATTTTTTATTTTTTTACTTAAAATGATTTGCAATTAACAAATTTCCGGGAAATTTTTCGTGTTTTGTGAGTAATTTTAAAATTTAAAATATTATATTGTTATACAAATATATGTATTATTATGTTTATATATATATATATGTATATATATAAATATAAGTGGATATAAATTGTGGTTACGTAAATTTACAATTTATTTCCTTCTTTAAATTTTTCTCACTATTTTATTTTACATAATAAAGAATTTTACAGTTACAATTCAGAATTTAAATTGTTTAATGTCAAATTATCTATCACTTTTTTAAAACTATAGAGCTAGTTTTTACACAAGTGATTTTTTCTAGAACTTACATATCTACTATTTGTTAATCGATTTACTTCAATTTATTATGAAGTTTGAATAATTTACAACTCAAAGAAAGCGATGAATTTTGTGTAAAACCGATAAAAAATCAATACCTTGTAAGCAGCATATAACTTCCGATTTCGTATTGTCTTACAAATTCATTATATTTACAAAATTTAAATAAATACATTCATACTCTTGTTCATAGAAGGCGCCACTTGATTATTAAAAATAATACTTGAAATTCCAGAAAAACTAATAATGTTTAAGTCAAAAATTTTAGTTGATTTAATAAAATTAAGATTTTCGAAAAAAATTTATCACTTTAGTATTAAAAATTCATATTGAATAAAAAAATATTCAATTTTATTAATTATATTTTCCAGAATCTAAAATAATTCAAAAATTTTTCATTTCACCACATTTAAGAAGACACAGCTCAGACATAAATTTCCAGTTTAGTCGAAATTGTAATACAGGAATGTACAGACAGATATTTAATCACTAAAGAAAATTCGAAAAAAATACCATTCCCGTTGTAATGTGAAATTAAGTGTATTTCCAAGATCTTCTCTTCATCTTGCATGTAATGCGGTTGGTCAAAATTGGGATGATTGATAATTATCGAGAAGTATACAAAGTTAGTTTTATACATCGATAAACCTTATAATTTGTGGTAAAGGCACAGGAAACTAATTGTTGTGATTGTTTTTTTTTTTTGTTAAATGGAAATCAAATATGTAATTGTTTTGAATTCAATGGTTAATAGTTTAAAAAAAAATATTCTAACCTATCCGATTCGTTTAAATTGTTATTTCTTAAAATATTTTAATATATAAATGAAATTTTGTAAAAAAAAAATTCAAAATTTTATTGAAAATTCCTTTATAACTAGGGGGGATAGATAATTCGGACATTTATGTAAAATTCTAAATTAAATCTTAAAAGTACTTTTACACATACTTAAAACAAATTTGCAGAAACTGAATATCAGCAAAAGAAAATTTTGCAGATTTGTAAACATACTCGAGTATCTGATTTTTAAATATCTAATATTTTTCTTATTATGCTCTTCCACTTTTAATTTATAATATCTTTGTAGTAAGTCACAAAAAAAAGCTTAAAAATTCCTTTAGAAATTTAAGCACAACGGTGTATTTACGAACAGAAATTGATCCAAAATGATATATTTGCAGATTTTACAGGTTAGATTAATCGAACGTGCTTTATAATAAAACTTAAGTTAGAAGCGAATTATCGAAAATTCCCTAATTCAGCTAGTATTAATTGTATTTAAACAAGTACAGTTAGAAAAGCTTTAAATTTTAGAACCAGTTTGAAAAAAAATGAAATTTATTTTCAATTAATAGAGAAACAAATTGTTTTTCATACCAATTTAATAACAAACTAAAAAAACAACGAACAAACCAACTAGTAGTTTCCAGAATATTTTACTCTTTATAAATGGAAGAAAATATCTCTTTTAACTTAACCAATTAAAATTACATTAAAAGTCAATACAAGTTTCCATTTTCAAATTTTTACCACAAATACATTTTTAAAAACAAATCAACTTGAATAAAATCTTTTATCTTTCCTCTATAATATATTAAATGAATCATATTTCAATCGTAGCAAATAATAAACTTTATTTTTTCTCAAAATATACAAGAAAAAAAAAATTAAAATAAAACTTGAAAATTTGCGTTTCAACATTTTATTTTGAATATGGATTGTGGTGTGTTTGTCAATAATCTACACTTAGTTTCGATAATTATTTATTAAAACAGAAAAAGAAAAGAAAAAAAGAAATAAGTAAGTGAGTAAATATGGTTATAAAGCCCAAATAGTTGTTGAATTGCTAGTATTAAAAAAACTGTTTGAAGGTTTGAAATTTATGTGTGTTCAACCCACACTTATTCATTAATTTACATATTCGTTTTCAATATTATTTAAATTTTAAAAGATATATTTATTTATTTATTTTTTTTTTTCATTTTATTAGTTGCTAAGAAATACCAAAAAAGCTTTTTCTATATGTATAAAAGTAAGTATTCCGAACAACTTTGTGTAGAGCAATTCTTAAAATAATTTTACTAATGAAATTTTTGTTCTTTTTTTCCTTGTATATTTTTTTTTCTTGTATGAATGCGGAAGGTTTTCATTTTTAAACATTTAAATATTAAAATATATTGTAGATTTTACAAAATATTTATTTGTTAAAAGAACAACAGCACCCAAAACCCCTTAGCAATATATACTTATTATAATTTGACTCGTAAACTCGAATACTTGAATACTATGTACCTAAACTCGTACAACAGATTCCTAAAATTGAAAATTCTTAATCTAATTATTCTAACGAACTGAAGATTATTACTAAATCATACTATAATTAATATTGTGTAGTTTTTTTTTAATAATATTTAAATTTCCTATATTATTTTAAAAATTCCAAAAATTTCAATTTGAACATTTTAATAAATCTACATATTTTAATTTGAATAAGTAGTTTTTTTTATACATCTGGTAGCTTTTAAGTTCCACCTGTGATATACAAATGTATGTAAATTATAAAAAGGTAATAAAGAGCTTAAAACCTACACAATTATAAGACAATTCAAATTATTTTACATACTATTTTTGCTTACAATATAAATAAACTTTTTTAACTTGATATATAAATTAGTCAAAAAAAAAAAATTTTTGTTTTTGTAAAGTATACATGTACCATATTTGATAAATAAATTCATAATGAAATTTATTGTTTTTTATATTTGCATACACATATATATATATATATATATATGTAGCAATATAAACAGTTAAGTTAATCACTATTATATTTAATTTACTTTTTACTAAATTTTTTATTGTAGTAATTTTTAATACTACTCTCTACATTAGTATAAAAATAGTAAACAAAATTTATAAAAATTAAAACACATATTTAAATATTGGTTGGTATACCAATAATATGAAAGCTTATAGATATATTAAATTTTGAAATTTGACTAACATAAGCCTATTATATTTAATTTTAATATGTTAAAAAAAAATAATTATTTTGTATATAGAAAATTGAATTTTATTCCACATGGTTTTCTAATTACTTTTTGTCCTATTTTTGATTATCGCGATGACGTGATTTATGTGTTAATTAATTGAAAAGCAGTCATAATTTTATGTAGTAAAAAATTTTGTTAAAAAAAAAATTAAATGTAGAGTGTTAATCGAAAATCATTTGCAATATACAAAATAATATTGCTTATTTTTTTTTATGTTAAAATAATTACAAAATTTATTATTATTGGGAAATAGAAAAAAAAACTAATTTTTAATTATACACTATTCTTCGACTCTTTAATTGTTGAAATTCAGTTCGAAATCAAATTTTCAATTGAAATAAGTTATTAATTTTAAGTAAAAGTAGTTAGGATCCTAGCTTTTCAACAAAAAAAGAAAATAGCAAAACTCTTAATTGTTTTTAATTTAGTAATAGTAATCTACTACTTTAGTATATTCAACGTTGACAAAATTTTTAATATAAATTTTCATAAAATATAAGTATTTTTTTACTACCTAACTTTAATTCTGCAAAATACTTGAGTTTGTTTTTAATGAAAATTGTATGCAATTTATTGGCGTGAAAGCAAATCACATTGTACTTATTTACAAATTATTTACTTTATTGTTTTTATTTTATTTTATTTTCTTTTTTAATTTTTTATTTTGTTTATAATGATAATTTCTTTTTTATTATAAACATGAGTTCAAATACTATCTTCACTTTATTTTTTGTTATTTAAGAAACGTGAATAGTAGTTTTTTTTTTTTTGAAATAAATGAATGAAAGCTAACTAGAATTTTTTTTGTGTTTACTATAATAGCCAAAAATTTGTAAACAATAATCTTTTTCATATTTCATTATAAATGTACACTTATTCATTATATATATATCTACATTAGTACAAATTTCATTGATTATAAAATATTCTATACATAGCAGATTTTTATATTTATTATTCTATCTAATGATTGCACACTTGAAACAAAAACAAATTTAAGATTTTAAAAAATTTATAGAATAAATTATTCTTTTAATTTATTTTTTTGTTGCACATGTAAGCCTTTCTATAGTTGCATATCTATTTTATGATGCTACAGGTATTGGCACTTTTTATAATTAAATTGAAAATATGTGCTTTATATACTACGTAGATGTACATATTCCAAATTATTATAGCTTACTAAAAAAAATTTTTAAATTAAATCTTTCCATTTCAAATACATATGTAAATATGTATGTAGATTGGAGACTGGATGTACCTATCTAAGTAACTATGGCAATAATCATAAGAAACTCATAAAAATAATATTTGTAAACAAACCGAAAATTAAAGTAACCAAAGCAGAACCAATCGAATTCTTATAAAAATTCAAAAGCTAATCTAAATTCTAGTAACGCTGGTAAGTAATTTAAATACACAACTTCAGTAATATTACCTACATTTTATACAACAGTTACTTGTAAACTAAAATAATTATTTTTTTTATAAAAAAAACAACACTTTGAATTAATGAAACCTTAAGCCAGAATTTTCGTAGAAATCTTACATATTACTTGTTTTTCTTAACGAAATAAAGATTTTTATTCAATCATTTTCAAAAATTAAATCTATAATTTGTACAAAAAACAAAAAAATTTCCAAAATCTTCATTAACCATTTGATTTCTAACGAAAATTTATTTAATCTCGATTTAAAATTTAAATTAACTATGGAACCTACTTATACTTTATGCGCTTTCAAGCTAAATATATTGTTTAATTCAAATATTAGACGGAATTAAATTTACTCATAAAATTGGGACCTACATTCCCGGCTATGTAAAGAAGGTACAAAAATATTGACTTTTCTTAGTCTAATAAATTCCGTTAATTAAGCTTATTTTATTCCTATATGAGAAAGTTATTTGAATAGAAATATTTTTATAGAAAGGAAGTTGCAAAAAAATTGGATAGGTCTTCTCCAAAAATAATATGTACATAAAGTACCAACCTACTAAATTTAAAACAAATATTTAGAAAATTTTTAAAAATCAGTTGGTTACCTTCGGCTGTTTACCAAATTAACTACCCCACCTAAGAGTTTCACTAGCTTTCATAGAGTTTCAGTGAATCAACTAACCTCTGCCTTTAATTTTTTTTATTAATATTAAAATTTTAATCTTATGCTAAACTATTAATTAAAGCAGCACACTAATCATTGAAAAAAAATTGTTTAAATTATTTTCTAAAAACTTATTTCAAAAAGAAATAAAAAAAAAAAAATAACTAATTTTTTCCGATTCTTTACTCTATTACCTACCTATTCATGTATAACTAAACAATACAACAGGTGCAATCATATTACTCTTTAATAAGAAGTTACGATGTTCATAAGATGAGAAAAATTATAATTTTTCTAGTTTTGAAAAATACACAAAAAGTTATTTATAGAAATTTTTTTAGCCCTAATAAAAAACAGAAAAAATTTATACACCTATTTACCTACTTCTCTAACTTTTAAGCATCATCAATGAGAAATCGTAGTCAAAAATTTTTCTACTTTGAAAATGTATTAGAGTTTAAAGTCACAAGATTCATAATTTCATAGTCAATACATATATCTTTATAATTTCATAGACGAGATAAGGTAATGTATGGAAAATAGTTGTTGTTAAAAGTTAATATAAAAAAAGATTTTGTCATCTTAAAAGATCAGCAACAAGTTTATATCTACAAACACTATTACAACAGGAAAAGCGAAATTTTTCCATAGAATTACAAAACATTTTTCAAAATATCTTCCAACTATATATCTTTATATAACTTATTGCCAATTGATTTGAATTAAAATCTTTTATATTTTGAATAAACATTATAAATTTTTACAAATTATCTTCGGAAATAATTGTTTTTTTTTTTTCTTTTAAATTTATTCTGTCATAATCTAAAATATGCACATATGGAATTTATTTCAATACATCAACAAAATACTTTTTTGGAGAAAGCTATATTAGCATAGCTGGTTCGGCTGCTGTTCTATTTTTATCCGCCCACTTGAGAAATCAAAATCAAGTGTCTAGCCCAATCAAGAAATTTTTGATATCACAAATCACAGTTGGGAACTATAAAGTCATTTATAAATAATTTTTACACTTTACTTGCCTTTTCTTTTGCACGTCCTGCATGTTTTTGCACTGATTTCGCTAATAAAGCCCCTTTTTCAGCCATTTTCCGTTCACACCTATTCGACTTTAATAATTCAACTAAATAAAAAAGAAAAATAAAATAAAATATGACTTAACACACACTCTTTTCTTTCCCACAGTACAAAAACCAAGTAAGTCAAACTAATGACTGACAGACTCACACAAAAAGTGACAGTATTCTTAGCTTTCATTTTTTCTTATTTTCAAAAATATTTAACCATTTTATTTTTGACAGCAATGTCATTACATTTTAAATGCTACCATTTTCAAATAAATAATTAAGTGTTACCATTTTCTTATAAATAAAGTAAATATCAAATATTTTTAAATATTTAATATAATTTTGACATTTTGAATAAAATTTTTAAACAAAAAAATAAAAGGCTACTAACTCACGGTACGTATAAAATCAAAACATGATCAGATTTTCTCCACCAGTTAAAACGAATTTTAATACTTTTTATATAAAAGTATTTTAGTTTGTAAAAACTTCTTATTTTTTACATGCACAGAAGTACTGTTTAAAATAAAAAATTACATTTATAATTCCGAAACTTATGCAGTACATGGATGATATACTTTGACTGGTAATTTTTTTTTATTGTCGTATCGTGATTATAAAAACCGTCTCATGACCTTGTTTTACTATTACAATTTGGATTCGTGGAAATATTCATTTTGTAAAGCTGTCTATTAAATAATTGTACGAACAGTTGGAGATTTTAAAGTACAAATATCTGCAAAAACAGCAATCATAATAGAAAATAAGTATTCAATAAAAAATTTTAGGTAGCAATTTCCACTCATGGTCAAGAAATTTACAAGGTCTGCTGGATAGCATTTGTGTTTGAAAATGTGACGTCATAGAGAAGAAATTTCTTTGAGAAAAAAATAATTCTCATAACCATATTATGAAAAACATAAACACAGGCTATTGTACATTTTGCCTTTTCTCTGCAATGGAAAATAAAAAAAAAATTAGAAATGGCGCTACTAGAGCAGATTTCATGAAAGAATTTTATAATTTATAAAACTATTTCTGCATGAACTATTTATTAGATGAAGACAGATTAGATAAAGGTGAAGTTTAAACAACGCATAGAATGAAACCAAATTATTTAATTGAACAAATTTTATATTTAATATGAATTAACTTGGTACAATAACCATAACAATTTTTTGAATTACTCAATGCTTTACATTTTTTTTTTTATTTTTCTATTTTGAATCTTGAGGATTATTCTTCAACATTTAAAAGAATCCAGTTGCTTTTGTGATTGTCGTTTGATATATGTATATTTATATATATATATATATATGTATATATGTTACATTTTCATTTTATTATTTTTATTTAAATACATACAATTTTTCCTTTGTGTCTTTTAAGAATTTTTGATTTTTATTGGTTTTAATTTTTAATTATATAGAATTTTTTAATTAATTACAAAATCTTCTCTATTTTTGCTTATAAAATCTTAAAAAAGAAAATATAGGATACAATTCTTATTTTATTCATTGTATTTTTTTTAACTTCATATTTTAATGTCGAAGTTAAATTTTTCATTTTAAATATATTTTTGTTATTTTTTTTTTGCAATATATTTTTACAGGTAGACTTTTTAATTACTATAACTGATGATTTGTTTAAACATTATTAATTTACCTTTTTTGTAGCACATATGTATTTCTTTACGAGGTGAGCCTGACTCCCCCTCGAGAATCTATGTAAATAAAAAACAACATATATGTAGTACTTGTGCTAGCCGGTATTTTGGAAGAAAAGTTAAAAATACATCAATGGAAAAATGATTATTTATTTAGATTAGAATAGGTTTCGTTTATTAGATTTTTTTCTTTCGCACGTATAACACTTACTTATATGTATGTGTCATAATTTAAATATTATTTACTTCTCGATTAAAGCATTAAAATTTTATTAGCCTCATCCTATATCTCATTTTTTCAATCACCAATTTTTAATAAGATTGGATATGTTTTCACAATGTAATAATCTTAAAATATCTCAACACTGTTATCAAATTCTCAACCAAAGTAGTTCAATATGATTACTGAATTTTGTATATTTTTGGAAAAAGTGTGTTTGATATGAAAAATATTCTTCCAAATTGCAAAACAATATTATAAGATTATATGATTCTGACTTGTTTTCTTGTCACTCAATGACTAAAAAGATGAGAGACAAAATGAGGACCTCAATTGATGCGTTTTCGACATAAAATTATAAAGATTTTTATATTTTAAATTTTATTCATATTGGTTGGTAGCTATAACAATTTGAAACTCAAAATTCCATGTTTATTCGCGAAAGAATTTTTATTGATTTGTATGAAATAACTAGTCAAATATTAACAGCTATATAATAAAAACTACTAAAAGTAATCAAAAATTAATATCTTAAAAATTTCACCTAATTTTGACAGTAAATTTTCGTTTTTACAGTAAAATCTGGTGGCTAAAATAGAAAATCCTAAAACTTGTATTTTTTTTTCAATTCTTTGAAAATTGTGATGTTCATTTTGTTTTATATTTCATTCAGGGAATTTTTTACAATCAAACTCACAATTAATGTTGTTTAACGATTTTCAAGCTCAATTAACATACATATAATTAATAATATGGAACCTGCAAAATAATTGTGTTTTGAATTTCCAATATTATTTTACAAATTTATAAATTATTATTTGGCACTAAGAAGCTCTATTTTTTATCTGTTACCTTCGGGTTACACTTACGTTAAAATATCGTACAATTTTTTTTGACATTGAATTTTCGTTTGCTGACAATCATTTAAAATTTTACATAATATATGCATTTATAACAATGTTGTACGTTTTATGACATATATCTAAATAAATAAGCGTCTTCTATGCAAAAATTTAGAAAGACAAATGAAAAATCGGTTCGGAATTAAGCAGGGGTGACTAAGAATGTTTAAAAAATTTTAGTGATGCAAGATTAAACATATTGTTGTAGCAGAAATCAAAAGAAGAAACGTAGAAAAATTGTATCCTTTAAATGTCAATTTTTTTGGCATCAAAATTAATCATGATAACGGTAAAATTTAAATTAAAAAAGTCGAATTTATTTTTTTTTATTAAAATTACTACATTCACTTAAGACCACTGTTAAATATTAATTTTTGTGTATGGAATTTTTTGTTCATATATTTTTATTACAATTTGAAATAAACGATCGATTCGAATTTCGTTGAAACCAGCTATTGACAAAATTCTAAAGCACAAAAAATCTAATTTTCTTAATTTTACTTTTGTTCATTTTTATTTTTTTTTTCAAAAACTTTTTATACATGTTTTATTATAGGTTTTGAATTATTTTATTCGCATATGCCACACATCACGTGAGTAGTATACTCTTTTTAATGAAAAATTCATTTTTGTTTTCGCTTTGCTACTGCAAGTTGACAAGGTCTACTAGAAGAAAATTTTTGATGTCATTAAATTCTCATTTGTTTTTTTTTCATATTATTTACAAAACCTTTTTCGTTTTAGTCTAAAATAACTATACGGTCATATTATTTTAACAGGCTATTCCGTTTTTCTGATCAATATAACTGATTATATAAAATATAAAATTTACAATAAATTTTTTTTTCTTTTTTAGAAGTCTAACCAAATAAAATTTTTAATTAATTTATTCGTTGTAATTTAAATTTAAAATAAAAATAAAATTTTAGACAAATATGATTAAAGCTGCGAATTTTTAAAATATTTTATTTAGTCGAGCATATTTATATTTGATATTAAATTGAATTGTGCGTTTTTGCATATTTTAGAGATTAATTGTATTACTAAAAAGTAAATTAGAAAACATGGTATACACATTTATTCATGTATTAGAATATAAGATTGTGCAGTTTATTTGTGCAAATGTATGTTATTGATTAATAATTTTCATATTGTGTAACAGTGAATTTTACAAGTTGCACTATCTGAATCCTTAAATGCTTCAATTACAATTTTGATTATTAATTGAAAATTTTTGACATTTGAAAAAAGAACTAAATCGGGTATCTTCCTTAAATTTGATGTCAATTTGTTTTATTCCGTAATGTGATTTCAATTGTAATTCAAAAAAATTTCATGCAAAATTAAATTCTTAACTCATTGTGGATTCACACCGGTTTTTTTTAAATGTACATTCATTTTGTTTACCGGGAGGTTAAGTATAGTAAAAAAACTACAAATAAGCCGTTTTTTCTAAGCTATCATTTACAATGTCCGCTCGGTGCATTATGGATTGCCGAAATTTGCATTTGTTAAGGTTTTTCAGAAGTTTCAAAACAAATTATTAAAAAAAGTAATTTGTACCAAAAAAAAAATATTTACAGTCATCATAAAAACTTTTGTACTAAAATAGTACTATATAGGCAATGTTTGTATTATTATGTCCATGTATAGTGCAACATTGTCCCCACCATAAAAATTATTTTTAAAAATAAAAATAAAACCCAATTAATCACATCATTTTTTATATTAAAGCCTGGGCCAGCCATTATTCAAAGTTGCAAGAAAGGAATGCAATATTCTTAGAATCAATATTTGTATATTGTAAAGCTACAAAACCGGTTCTAGAGGTGACTTAAATCTCAATGTATATAAAATTATATGCAAAAAATATTTATAATGTTAAAGAATTCGTTCCAAATTTTTACAAACTAATTCAAATTATAAAATATAAATAAAAATCATAATAATCTTATTAAACTATTCAACCACAATTCTTTACCATATTTTAATTCTTAATTATATATAAATGTACTTAAAAATTTCTATATAATTTATATATAATAAAAGAATTTTTTTATACACTTTTAATAATCTTAAATTAATTTTTCTTTTAAATGGCAAATTCTAAATTTAATGCTGCAATCAGAATATATGGGTTCTAAATATTATATAAGAACTTTTACTATATTTTTCTGAGTTTTCAAGACAAAAAAAAACAATCTCTTGAATGTTGTTTTACCTAAACATTTTCTAAATTAAAATTTTTAGACTAACTGACATTTTATAGGTATAAACAGAATCATTTGACATTTTGGTAAACTCAACGATAACTGAAACACTATTGTGTGTCATCAACATCAACTGAAGCGAGATCAGC